TGATCAAGTGCAGCCTAAACAGATTCTTACAAAAAAAAAAAACAAAAAAAAACACCGTTTTAATTATGGTTTGACCTCAATATTTGTAATACTTTGGAAACACATTTTTCAATAGTTTTTATTAAGCTCATCCTATAATTCATGCTTTTAATTTTAGACAGTAACATCATGTTAAGAATGCTGTTGCCAAGAGTGCTGAGGCCAAGATATACGAATGAATGCACGAAGATACTAATGGGCAATAATAATAATATATTTTACAATTTAAGTATTTCTTAACAATTAATTGTACAAAGTTTGCTAATGCACTAAGCCAAAAGCAACGCGTAACTCAATAAAGAATTACAATATGCTAAAAACATTTCACTTTATGAGCAATCATTAATACATAACTAATTAACTAACGTATAAATATGTAACACAATCTCATAAGTTCAATAACAAAACTTCACATGCACTCGCTTCACAAATAACAAATAACAAAAAAAAATAAAAAAATAACACAATAATAAAACAAAATTTTTGCAAGGCACCAAGCCGTGGTAAGTATAAAAGTCAAGTAGAAAAGTGAAATGCTGCTACTGCAAAGTAAGAAATAAATAATTGCTTTTTACCCCACACACACTCAAGATAGGAGCTGTAGTTGTTTTGGAGTAGGTACAGTTGGCTGCACAAATCAAACTGTGGGGGACACGGGCAGCAGCGGAGCAGGTTGCAAGGGGGGCTAACGGTATGCTGAGCAAGCAACTAAGCCGCGCATCAGAGCTCATTCAATTTCACATTTCAAATGTGAGAGAAAAAACAAAAAATAACACACACACAATGCATATTATTTTGTTGCCAATGGTGTTGGCGTCTTCTGTTTGGTTTGGTTTGGTTGGTTCGCGCTCTTTAGTTTCGTTTGAAAAAAAAAACACCGGTGGAAATTAACCGTATACAAGTTTGTACATACTTATCCACATCTGATATGTACAATGTATATTGAAACCCCTATCAAGTACAATAACCCCCCCAACACTTCCCACACACACACACACACACACACACACTCTCGCACATTTGTAATTTTTGTTTCATTAATACTTGTGAGCAGTTGTCGCGTGCTGTTGAAATAGAAAGTGCACATCAATTGCATTGTTTTTTGCAATGCATCATGCTAAAATAGATGGCAAAAGAAAAGCATGTTTATTTTATTTATTTATTTTTATTTTTACTTCTTTTGTTTTTTTTTTTTGTAAGGTAAGGCTTGGAAACACCCAATAAAAAATAATAAACTTAACACTTAACATATTTAAGCCTTACTCCGGTGCGTGAAATGTGTATTATTTGATCAAATGTTTCCCCAACTAAAGATAACAAAATAATGTAAAATATTTAAGCCCTATGCTGTTTAAACAAACAACACTTTAAACAAATAAATGAGTATTATTATAAAATATTTTTGGAAAATTGTCGGTAGCTTAGTCCACATTAAACAAAAAAAAATAAAATAAAAAAAACCAAAATGACTAAATGAGTATTATTTAAAGCATTTTTCAAAAATTGTCCGCCGCGTAGTCCACATTAAATAAACAAATAATGAGTAATATTTGAACAAATGTTTCTGCCCGCATTCTTGCTTAACAAACCCTAAAATTATTGCCAAGTGTTGTGCACTTGATGTGCACATCAAAATACACCCATTGCAGTCTTCATTGATATACTGTAGCGCCTGAATGTATACAGATACACACATACATGCATCAGAGAAGGTGTCTACTTTTTTTCTTCATTTTCTTCACACACCTTAACAAGCATATATATATATATATGTGTATATGCATATTTTTGAAACATTCTCGAAAGCAAGCAACATCGTAAAATTATTTGGCACACTTACAAATCGTACCAACATTTTGTGGGCAGATCACGCGACGTGGGGCGCGTGTAGTGTAAAAATAGCTGCAAGTGGGTGTTTGGCAGCTATACACACATCGGAGCTTAACAGATGACACATAACACGATATTGGGCATATAATGATAAGGCCCATATACCACACATACACACCCACACACATGCATTCACATGCATACCTAAACACGTAATGAGCAAGGGCAAATTTTTGAAAACTATGTTGATTTAAACACTCAACAGCGCGAGACATAAAAAAAAATCGCTTGAAACAGGCTGAGTGAATTCAACTCCAAATTAAAACATATGAATCACATATATATATATGTATATATGTCTCCACGCTGGACGCGCACGCAATTGCTGCAGCCGATGTGGCAGCTGCATGTGCAACCAGTCCTAACTAACTAAGCAAACAAACAAACTGCTAACGGCAAATGTTTCCATTTCGCAAAGATAAACGCAATTTAACGTTACAATTTGTTTTCATTTGCTTTCCTTTTTGTCTTTTTAATTAAGTTGCTGGTATATATAAATATGATTTAGGCAAACAAGTAAAAAATAAAAAAACACTTTGCAACAAGGCCTCTATATTAATGGCCAGAGGTATGAAATACCGTTAAACGATAAACGTCCTGTCCTGTCAACAAAGCTGTCTTCTCCTAATGAATATTGATTTCTTTTGCTTGAGGAAACAAAAAAAAAACGCACAGTTCACTTAATGGACATATGTATGTACACAAATCATAGATTATTCTATAAACTACAAAAATATCTTATCAATAATTTTATATAACATTTGAAGTGTTCGTAAAACAGGTGTGCAACACTGGGAAGCAAAAAAAAAAACAATATCAAATACATCACAATAGGCACATACCAAATGATTACGGTACTGATTGGAATTGTGTATGCTGGCTCTGCCTGCTCTTATATAAGTCTTTTGAAGACTTTCGTTTGGATTGGCTGCTGTTGGCTGCTTTTTTTTTATATGTTTTTTCTTCTTTCTATTAAACGTTACAGCTTTTGTTATTGAAAGTGTTTTTGCCGGCTGATTAGTGCGTTAAGCATTTTTTTTTAGTTTTCGCAAACCAAAGCGGATTGTTATGTAAATTGATTTTCCTTTCAAATTGTTGTGTGCGTTTCTTTTTTTTCAATCAACGATACCAAAAAAAAAAAAAAAAACCAAATAAATACTGCACTACTTAATCAAATTATGGTCGCATTTTTTTTATGTAAGTTTGTTGCTAAAGTTCAATATTTGATTTTAGTAAATAATGTTGGCAACATTTTAATTACTTCGACACACTTCGATTGAAGCAGAGACGCGGCAAAGCACAGCATTAAAGGCAGACCATAATTATAAATTACAGTTAATCCTAAATGTGAACTTTCCGACTCGCAGCTACCGATGCGATCCGGAAATGTAATCGAATCATCCATCCAAACAATGAACAAAATGGAATGGAATAACGGACAAGTGAACGCACCTCACACACGACACGCACAACATTGGGGGTACTCCACATCCAGACATCACATTATGGAGACCGCAGTATGGTATTTTATTGTGTATTGTATTGTGTATACACATGGAACTCTTATTCACCGCACTATGGCGACCACGTGAGAAATGCGCACGCAAAAGCTGAACACTCCACTAGTCAGCGATATGAAAATAAATTGTTTATCAATTACGAAAAATTGTTTAAAAATAAAATGTGCACTTTTCACCATGAAAGTGAAGTAAGATTTTTTATTTTTGCTACAATTATGAACTTATCAATGAATAACAATCAACACTTTGTGTGTGTGTGTGTATTGTATTTTTTTTTTAAACTTTCATTAAAGAAAAAATACTTTGTATTTAAACTGAAAGGCTTGTAACGTTATTTCCATGGTATCATTGTTATAAGCACGCATGACAAAATATATAAAAGAAAATAGTAACGAAATTTGTCTATACAAATTTGGTCAAGCACACAAAAAAAAACGAAAATGAAAGTTAACTAAAATTGTATACCCTTGCTTGATGACATTTAAAGGTTTAGTCGTAGGTTTTTTTTATCGACTTTGAACGAGTTTAATTTCCAGTCAGTTTTTTTTATGGTTGAATCGTTTATCATGCCATACAAAAGATGCCTTTAGCAATTAATACTATTAAATAAGTCCCCTTTTTATAGCTTCTCACTGGTCTCGAATTTGGTTTGTATTTTAAGATAAGCAACATGAAATAATCATGAAGATGTTTAGTAGCATTCTCATTATCATTATCAGTCAAATTACACGTTCAATCCGAAATATTTTCGACAAAGAATAAAATAAATAGAACAAAAATTCGACACAGTCTACAAGAAAGAGATATGAGAACAATAAGATTAATTTGAAGAGTCAATAAGGTGTATTTTCAAAAGTAAAACGCCATATATCTGAATCATGGCTAAACAAGCTCAATTAATATTATTGAATATATCTCTTTATGTCTCGCTCAAATATATAATCTTGAAAATGTTTATTTGCTAGATAGAATTGGTGTTCAACAATGCTATCAGTCAAAACACTGAAGTACAGATTCAAGCCGAAATTTTTTTAATTCAACAAACAACAGAATAAATAATAAGTCAAAACAGCCTGCAGCGAAAAGATATGAGAACAATAAGATTGAATGTTACTTCTCATATCTTATTTTCAAAAGTAAAACGCCATATTTTTGAATCATGGCCAAACAAGTTCTAAAGCAATCAAAAAAAAAAAAAAAAAATTAAAGAAAAGAAAACCGAAAGTTTAAGACAAAAAAAAAAGAGTTCTAGCTGTTCTTCTGTTTTTTAAATGTTATAAATCGTTTTGGGTGCACGAGTTTCTAACAGCTTTTAAAATGCTGTTTTAATAACTGAAGCGCCATTTAATTATGGAGAGTTCTTCAGCAGAAACTTTCTACAATATATCATAAATGTATGTTTAATTACATATATATGTATGTAAAACTTAAATCTACGTTTCTGTCTATAACTCGGTATACTCAAAAAGTTTTCAATATTCTGCTAACTGATATGAACAGTATTTTCTAACAGCTAATTATTATACAAAGGAAAAGTTGTTCGCCACTTACCCGGTAAACCTCCGAGAAAAAACCTGAACCGATTTTCTCCTTGACAAAATCATCCACCGAATATAGGGCTGAGACAGCCGTACGCAGAGCCTTGCACGACGAACCGGTGACAAGTCGATCCGATGATATAGTACGTGTCACTGGTGGCGGTGGATGTCCATTGCTAACGCTACCGTTAATGGTAATATTAGCACTAGTCGCATTACTGCTGTCCTTGTGGAGCACCGAGGATGTCGCATCAGCCGGGAACATATCACCATTCGCCTTCTCCTGCAGGCCGGCAGCTCTGTACGACGACGAACCACACATGCCCGATGTGTTGTCTTGCCACAGGAACGGATTAGCGGAATCCACCTGATCACAGGATCTCTCCTGCTTTACGATGCTACCGCTGCTGATTTTGTTTTCCGGCGGACCGGGACCACTGTGTTGGTTTAGGCTCATTTTTATCAGCTACGACGTATTTTGTTGTTGTTGGTGGAAGGATTTTTTTGTTTTTTTTTTTTGGGGCTGGATTAAGCTGCGCTTGTTTCTGGCAACCTCACATTGGACACTCTCACAATGGGTGGTGGAGCGGGGTGATGCAACACGAACGCGAACTCGTTGCAAGCTGCAAATTGGTTAGATTGTCTATGAAATTTAACAGCAATTACAAAAACTACAACTATTTGGCCAAGTTAATTGACAACTATGTGGGAAAGTAAATAAAAATTCAATCACAAAATTTTTTTATGTGTATTTTTTTCTGTTAAATGCCAAAAAAAAAAAAAACAGTAGCTGTGACGTCATTTGTCAGTTTGGCACACGATTGAACGGAAGATTTGTCTCAAACGGAAGCGCTCTGGAAGTCTAAGGAGAAGAAGAAAAGAAAATATAGTTTAGTAAACAACAAGCATAGCAATAATTATTTGTATTTAATGTGCACATTGCTTTTTTTTTGTGGTAGTTAAATAACCTTCGCTTTGCTCCCAAGTATATTCATTAAAACGCCTCGCCAATAATTAGAATCAATATGATAATTATAAATGTTGCTCAATCTCAAACAATATATATATTATCTCTGTTAATTGAATCTGTGCTGTTTTGCTTTAGCTTCTGTGCCATTTAAAAAATGACTCGGAAAAACATTAATTACTTTGCCAAATATTTATAGCTCATCCTCACGTGCACATACAGTGCCTGCAAAAAATAAAATTACACTCTAATCAATTCGAGTTGGAGTTGTCTGTGATTTGCTTTAATGTTTTGTATGTTGGAAACCATAATGCAAATAATATATCTCCAAATTATGAGCTTGATTATCTTTTTATGTGTTGTAATAAGAAATAAATAAGATTATTTATTATTATTGGTAATCATCTGATATGCTGCACTTATTGCCAAAATAGACCAATATACCACTTTTCAGAGCAACTTTTCGCACATTTTTAATTTTTCATTATCTTTAGAATTACCAGAAACATCCATCAGACCTAAAACGCATCAAGAATCCTTGGAATAAGGATTCGAAGATTAAAGAAACATTTGAAACTCACTATTTTTCATTATTTTTTTAATAATGATTTTATCTTCTAAAGACAGATTATTATTTTGGTGTTACTTTTTCCTCCGCAGCTATACCATACAAATCTATATTTCAGTTTGCTTTCTTACGAAGCAAATAGGAAAAAATCAATATTTTTGTTGACATCTTTTGGCTTTTGCGATCAATAAAAGTAACAATAATATTTGTATGCTCCTCAAGCAAATTTGTACTTTTTTTGTATAAAATATACACTAATTTTGTAAAGTTACGTGCTTAAGTTAGAGGCCTTCTTTTAAATTGGCTCAAGGTTAAATCGGAATGTATAAAGATTGATCTACATAGTGTAGCTGAAGTAGCACTGTGCCAATATATATATATATATATTTATATATATATTGATTAGATTTCAAATACGTACTGAACGAACTTTGCCCAGCACACATCACCATTAGAACTATAATTGACTATTTTCAGATAATAAATATTTAAATTTAGCTAGCATTAAAATTCGTAAACAGGTATCTTTAATTTATTTAGTATTCACGTGTGTGTGTGATTTAAAGTGACGCGATTTGAATTGACGTGAATTGAATTGAATTGCACTGCAATTTCAGAGTTGTTTGCTATTTTGATAACACTTTATTTGCAATAAAAAAAAACAAAAAGCACAAACACTTTAATTTAAACCACGAACATATATTCAAGAATTTGTAGCCACCAGGGACAGTCGCCACAGTACAGTGGAACTGCGCTATCGTCGCTTTTGTACCTTCAACTGAGCTGTGCCGAAAAACAACATCAAAAATATGGTTTGCGGCTGGCGAACACAATCGCGAGCAGCTGCAAGGACTGATAAACAAATGATGATGACATAACGAATAGTTGCCTTTTGTGTGTGTGTTCTAATCGGAAATAATATGACAACAACATCAAGTTGGCAATTTGATTTGCACCTCTTTATCAGCAAACCTTGAGATAAGATAATGGCAAAAATAACCGAGCAAATCGAAAATTTGGCCAGAGAACTTATCACAAACAGCATTAATAAAATACCTCGGAATTTCACTGCGAATTAAAGGCATTACAGCAGCACATGAGAAATAAGCAAGAGTTTTGTTGTTTATTGTTTAAATAACACTCGCGATCTTTTAAGAAGATAATATCAGACTACCCTTTCACACTTGATCGCAGTTGCTTGAAGACTGTGCCATTTTCGCGATTTTCTCAAACATTTCCCGGATATTGCACAAAGACAATAAACTCTTTTTTTCCCCCTCCTCCTTGAGTCTGCGTACAATAAAATGACAATAATTAAGAACACAATGCAAACAACTGAAAATGATAAAGTTCTATAAACAAAGCGATCTAGAGTTTTTAAGAACAAAAACACATAAGACGCAAATGGGCCACTGAAGGCACAGAGAGAGAGAGAGAGAGAGAGAGAGAGAGACTCAGAGACCAGAACAGATAAAATAAAAACAATTTACATTGTCGCACAGTGGCACAAATCATAAATTCTTTTATCATGTAACTAAAATTGCAAATGCCAAGCAACGATTTAAATTAAAATAGTTCAAAATCAAATCTAATAACTTTTTTTTCCAATTGGGTAATTTGACAGAAAGGGAAATTGCGTGCAGCAAGTATTTTTTGGCAGGAGTCAAATACTATTAGGTTATTTGGATGTCAATTTATTTGATGTGCAAAGAATTCGCTTAAGAATTTGTATATTTTTTATATTTGTATATATATTTACACTGTAAACTGTAAATAGTTGCACTGTGAAAAAAATGTGTCTATTTCGAGGCTTGAGAACTATTTAAATTAGCTTTAATATGCATAAAAAAAGAAATTGTTTTTGCCTGGTTTATTTTCGACTTCAAGTGCAAGTAGAATTAGAAATTAAGAAGAGAAAACTACAACTAAACCAGAAGACGAACATCAAACAGAGCAAAAAAAAAAAAACAACTAGTACAGGCACACAAACACAGACAGACACACACACGTAGTGAATATGCAGCTGGCATCAAGCGAAAAAAGGTGCAAAACGGAAACTACAATTGGTGCTTGGCCGCCGCCGACCACCACCACCATCAAATCCAATAAGCATCACACTGAATCACTCACACTGACTTCAAATGCAGCAATCGTTTTACATATATACACACACACAAACACACGCACATAAATGGATGAATGAATGCATAATAAGAAGTGAAACATCTGTCGCCGCATTTTGCACTTTACGTTAAAAAGTGTCTTTCCAGTAAAAAGAAAAAGAGAAAAAAAAAACTAGAAAAGAAAAAGAGAATGCAATTTGATGGTATTGGAAAACGAGATGATGAAGCTTCTTTCCCATCATCTGCGCTTAGTTTGTGTTATTTTTACATTTCCGTTGCTTACAAAAATATTTAGATATGCGTGTGTGTGTCTGTGTTTGTGTGTAGCCCTCCGCATTAAAACAGCATTCCAAGCGCACACCGACACACACATACACAGCCAGACAGACATAAGTGAGGAGGCGGAGCAAAGGGCACAGGCAGAGCAAAACTTGTGTATAATATGCATAATAATTATAGATATTTATTTAATATATATATTGCTAAAAATACACAAATATATTTAGGAATTATATAGTGTACATTTAATAATATTTTGTTACAGAAATATTGATGTACTGTCCCAGGCAAAGGTCAAATCTATGGGCAGCAAGCGCTTCCGACGAAAATGCAGCAGAAAAGAGAACGAAACATGTACCAAGTACTTACACACACCAACACACACACACACAATCAAGCAGAGACGCCTACACAGACATACATTGCATACAAATGCATTTTTAGATCCCATTTAAAGAAAAATTCCCAATTAATGTTATTTTTCTTACAAACAAAAATGTATATAAATAATAAAACATATATATATTTACCAGTTATATTAGTTGATATAATCCAATAAGTACGTTGTGTGTGTATGTGTGTTTTTTCTCTTTGGCTGCAATTGTATTCAAATTTGAAATTAAAACACAATCACAAGTTGAACACAAAATTATAACTTTTTCTTGTTGCTTGGAAGCAAAATTTCACTAAATTTAATGTCTTCGTTTTGTTTACATACATTTATACATATTTATTTGTATACATGTACGTTTTTTTATAGACAACATTTTTCTTTTATGCACTTAACAGGCCGACATTCCGATTCGGCAAGTATTTTTAACGATGTGCAAAGTTATATAGATGCAATAAACAAGCAGTGGGTATTTTTTGTTTATTATTTTTATTTGCAGTCGCGTAAAGTTGTATGCAAAATAAGTCACGACGCGAATCCACGTCAAGCTCCGCTTCTGTCTCGATTAATTTAACATATTATTTTCGCAAGTGTGACCGCACTCGGCTAACACAAATATACCAATCACTAACCGTGCAAATCTCAAATCTGGTATTTTTCTACAATTTGCCTTAAAAATACATTTGTTTTTTTTTTTGTTTTGATCAGCAGATTTGGCCATCAGAATTGATTTATTATAACAAAAAATGACAATTTCTTTATTGTAATTAAAAGGCTACTTATGCTTTTTAATGAACTTCATATACTTTTTGGCATTAAAGTTATCCTCCACTTCGTCCATAATCTTGACCTTCTTTCGCGGCTTTCGAGCCTCCAAACGCGCCTTGCGCTCCGAATCGGACAATGTGCTCAGATCCAGTGGCAACTGTAATGTTAACTACATTTTAGCAATTACATTCATTATTCCCAATGCTTATGTAATTTACCTTAATTATTTTACGTGGTTCGTGATATCGAATGTTAATCGTGGATCCATCGGGATGCACAACAACTGTTGGATAGATGCGACAATACACAGATCGATGTAAACGCGTCACGGATGCCGTTGCCGATGAAAGCGCGCGCATTTGTTGCAATCCATGCGGCAAAAGTTTCAACATTTTAATTCAAGAATAATCGCAACAACTGCAATTGCCTCCCAACAGCAATAACAAGTGCGTCCAGTGTGACCAAATGTTGAAAGTGACAACGATTTTCGACAACTGCTATTCGATACTTCTGACTGTCGATAATAAGTCTTTTATTGAAGTAAGTCGTGTGAAAATTTGCTTGTGAGAATTATACATAATAATTTAGTAGAAAGAAAGGTTAAAATCATTTTACAAAACTCATAAAGCAGTGCACTCATTTAATATAATATAATATCATTTGTAGTTAACATTGCCAATATACTTGTGGTACATTGTGTGTTGCGACAAAAATTACATAATTGTTGCAGAAATCAGTTTGGCTGCAAACTGAAAATAGGCAAAACTTTTTGGAATTTCTGAGAATAATAGTGCATAAGTTTGTCCCATTTTGTTGCTTGACTAAATTACTAACATTTTTTCTATTAATTTCTAGCATAAAAATGGCCGCACGTCGAATTGCCGCATCTTCGATAAATTGGTCCGCACTCGCGGAACGTGTTCCGGCGAATCAGAAGAGCAGCTTTGGCGCCTTCAAGACCAAGTCGGACATTTATGTGCGTGCCGTGATGGCGAATCCGGAGACGCCGCCAAAGATCGATTGGGCCTACTACAAGCGACTGGTACCCGTTGCCGGCCTCGTCGATGGCTTCCAGAAGCAATATGATGCGGTGTCGGTGCCATATCCCAAGGACACTGTGACTCCGCAGGTGGAGGCCGAGATCAAAGAATCACAGTCGGAGATTGGCGCGTACAAGAAGGCGTCTGAGCAGCGCATCCAGAACTATCAGAAGGAGATTGCACACCTGAAGGCACTGCTGCCATACGATCAGATGACCATGGAGGATTATCGCGATGCATTCCCCGACAGCGCTTTGGATCCATTAAACAAGCCCACTTTCTGGCCACACACGCCCGAGGAGCAGGTTGGCTACAAGTCCAAGGAACAGCTGGAGGCCGAGGCTCAGGGACATCACTAATCGAGTGGAGTAGCATCATCAACAATTAATTGTTTTTGATTCGAAATGTAAACATTAATTGCGAGTTGTTCGAAACTTAAATAAAATCTTTGAAATCGAATCGAACTAAAACAGCTCATTTAGCGAGTTGGCAGTTCGGCGAGAACTAATCGACGCCTATCGAAAGCTCATCGATATGGTATATTTTCAAAACAAAGCAAGCAATACATTCAAACAATGTAGCTTTACATTATTTATTAACACGTAATAATAGCAATTTGTTATTTAAATGTATACATTTGCAAATCACGCTAAGTATTCACGTAACATCGTCCGATCACGGAACTAGTTGAAATGTTCATGCACTCGGCTCCAGTTAACAGTGGTTCGTCGCACACACACTTAAAATGCACTAAAGAAATTTTAGTAAGCTAGCAGCAGAAAATGATAAAGTAAAAAATCAATTTGAAAGACAAAGACGAAAAAAATAGACGACGGCGGCGTTGCATGAACTATTTAACAATTTTGCTGTGCAATCGAAAACAGACGATGCTCTCGCGCCGGAACAAGGACAAAACGCAGGCACACAAGGAGGGCGTCGTCGGCAAGTATGTGAAAAAGGAGACGCCACCGGAAATACCGGTGATCAATGTGTGGACATCCTATACGGATCACGCGCACCACAATCAGCGGAATGCGGCCGCCGCAGCTGCAGCAGCAGCGAAAAAGAAGTCGCTGCAACGCTGCGCGAGCAGCTCGCCTTCGTGTGAATTTAAACAGCTGCGCAGCTCGAGCAGCAGCCGCAACACCTACTCCTGCAACGATGCCCAGCCGGATTATTATCATGCGCGGCGCGCCCAAAGTCAGCTGCCACTCAACAATAACAATAATAATAACAATAATGCTTCTGCGACGCATGGCCCAGCACAATTTCGTGGCGCCAGCAGCAGCAGCCAGCTAATGATGCCAGTCAACAACAATCACAACAACCACAACAACAACTATGTGAATATTGAGCAAATGGAGCGAATGCGTCGCCAGCAGTCGTCGCCGTTGTCATCGCCATTTCAGCGCAGCTATTCGACGCAGAAGCATTCGCAGTCGCATCTGCCCACGACTAGCTACGATGGGGATCAGGGTTTGCTTAGCGCATCCTATGCGAATATGCTGCAAATGCCACGACAACAAGCAGCCAACTCATCCGGCTCCTCATCCTCACCGGCACAGTTTGCGTTGCAACAGCAGCAGCGATTGCAGCAACAAAATGCTTATGGTTCCATGCTGCGTTTCGATGCCTCAACAGTCGCCGCCAAAAGTCATCAGACACGTTATCCGCTCACAAGGTAAGGATTGGGTTTTGGTCTCTGCTTTCTTTAATCCATACTCCTTGCAGATCACCCATGGAGCAACAGCAACAACAACAATTGACTGGCTATTCAAGTGATTCGTATCCCATCTATGAGAATCCGTATCGTGTCTCCTCGATGCGCGTCACTCAATCCCAGCGCTCCGAATCTCCTATTTACAGCAATACAACTGCATCCTCAGCGACGCTCGCTCAACAACAACAACAACATCATCATCATCAGCAGCAGCAGCAGCAGCAGCAGCATACACATCCACATCCCCATCATCATCCGCATCCACATGCGCTTGCGCATCCCCATCATTTGCCAGTGCCCTCCATCGGTTCATTGGGAGGCAGTTCGGGCAGCGTTCGTGGCGCCTCCGCCTCAGTACAATCGCTGTATGCACCGCCATTGACGCCGCCGGCATCGAATGCATCCGCGGCCGATGCGAACAACGGCAATGGAGCACTGCAAAAGGTGCCGTCACAGCAATCGTTGAGCGAGAGCGAGGAGTTGCCACTGCCACCCGGTTGGGCCACACAATACACGCTGCACGGCCGCAAATATTATATTGATCACAATGCGCACACAACGCACTGGAATCATCCGTTGGAGCGCGAAGGATTGCCGGTGGGTTGGCGCCGTGTAGTTTCCAAGCTGCACGGCACCTACTACGAGAATCAGTATACCGGCCAGTGCCAGCGACAGCATCCATGTCTCACCTCCTACTACGTTTACACAACGTCCGCGGAGCCACCGAAAGCGATTCGACCGGAGGCAACAATGTATTCACCGCCATCGCATACCCATAACGCTTTGGTACCGGCGAATCCTTACCTGCTGGAGGAGATACCCAAATGGTTGGCCGTCTATTCGGAGGCAGACTCCACCAAGGATCATCTGCTGCATTTCAATATGTTTAGTCTGCCCGAACTGGAGGGTTTCGATAGCATGCTGGTGCGTCTCTTCAAGCAGGAACTGGGCACCATTGTTGGATTCTACGAACGATATCGGTGAGTTGGAATTAACTATATATATATATATATATATATATATATATATATATATATAGGTAACTAAGTTTTAAACTTAATCCCGCTTCTTCTTCGATTTGCAGACGCGCTGCACACAGCAGCAGCAATAAGCAGCAGTGATTAATCCTGAACTGGAATATATATAGGTATATATATATATAAATATATATGTATATGGAATATATAACTGAATACTCAGCTATACTGTGCCTTTTTTCGCTGCCTACACACTTCGAACGCCGCATCATAATCCCACAATATATCTTAATATATAATTTCTAATTTATTTATTCAATCTTCTCGCATCAGTTTTTATATATTGTGACATTTAATTGGAATTTTGCATGTTTGCACAATTGTATCAAGTATATACATAAGTAACTGACTAAATATGTTGTGAATTTATTCAGTTATGTTCAGTTATATTCCTTGATGTTTAATTTATTACTTTTTTTAGATGCGGCTTGTTGTGTAGTGTGTGTGTGTGTGTGTGTGTGTTTGTGTGAGCATATTAAATCACTTTTTTTAGAAACTGTTCAAATGTGTTCAATATGTTTTTTGTTATCTTGTCTACTTTTGCTGATTACTCTATTTACGATCGTGGCTGTAAAGAATGGACCTGAAAAATGGAAGTGAGGTAAGCTAATCTTATCTCAAAAATGCACTTTGAATGGTTTTGAATAACATTCGTATCTCAATGCGAACACAATCTTACACAAAAACACAAAAATTAAGTTGTAGACAGGAAATTATTATTGGAACTGAAGGCCCTTATTTGTATGCATTCTTCAGTTAACAACGGGAACTTGCTTATATTTTGATCCGAATTTTCTATATACTTATTTGAAATCAGTTTAAATTCTTTACATTAAATGAAGCAAATCTAACAAGTTCAAAAATGATATTGATTATATATTTATTTGAATTGAGCTGAGCACGTTAAAAAAAAAACATTAATTTGACATCAATTAAATATAAAAAATTAATCAATCGTAATATATTTATTTTATGTATTTATTTTAAGTCAGTTTCAATGCATTACTTTTATTTGAAAGTAAAGAAATGTATTAATTTACTTTAAATCAAGCAAATTAATAAAAAAATGTGGACTAAAAATTATGATTTTAATAATTTGATATTCATTAATCTTTTAACTGCGAATTGTGCTATAAGGAAACATATAACATACCTATAAATAGGAAGAGATAAAAGGTGTTTTAAGTAGCCATAGCAGTTTGTTGGCTCACTTAAACGTTGTTTGTTATTAATAAATAAACAAACACACAGCATTGACCTAGTGCCAGCCAGCCTTAAGACTTAGTTATTTAATAGGTCACACCTGTTATATGTTTTGACATTATTCTCATCTATTATTATCTCTTTCGAATACAAATTCTATGAACCTGATCATTTTTTTTAAATAAACAATTATGTCAATTAAATTGAAGCGCAATTATTGTAAATCTAGGTTTAGCTTACAAGTTTTTGAGTGGGGTTTTTCCTGGGTTTCCCGCATTACTTAAGAAAATTTAATTAATCTGAGGTAAATAAAATATGTATAAAATTGTGTATACCCAGTGAAAAAATATATGTAAATCTAATTTGGGACTAAGAAAATTTATTATACTCAGATTTACTATGTTTATATTTAAATTAAAATTTGAAATGAAAACGAATAAAATAATGGTTATAATAAATCTGGGGATAACAAGGCGCATTGAAATAAAGGATAATAAAGTAGATAATAAATAAAAATATTAATAAATAATATTGTGCCCTGATTTATTATATTCTTTATTTTATTTTTAATTTCAAAGTAATATTTCATAACCCACTTTAATTGCATCGCATTCAATTTGTAACTTTTGCAATAAATTAAATTTAAAAATATTTAAATTTAAAATACAAAAATAAATAAAAACCCACCATTCAATTGCGCACTTCAGAGAACCCAAAATGTGTGTGATTATTTATAGACATGTGAAGTAACTCGAACTTCAATACACACTCAAATATTCAACTCGAATTTAAATATGAAGTGCAAAAATCCCATACCAAAAAACCAAAAAACCAAAAAACGATGAAAAAACAAAAACAACAACAACGAAAGCTTCAATCGTTTTGCGAACGTTTGTTTTGCTTACTTCGCTTGCTGGCGTATGTTGAGCCGGCGATGAGAAATTAGCAGCAGCGCGGAATTCCAATTCCAGTGTGTGACTGACTTCCAGTATAAGTGTAGTATAAGTGTATTTGGCGCTGTGCAGTTTGGCGTCAGTCAGTATCTTGACAGTCAGTCAGTCAGTCGGCCGTTGCTGCCATCGTTTAAGCAAACACACACACACGCACGCACACACACAATTATTACAGTTCGGGACATCGGCAGCAACAAGCCCGGTTAATTAAAACAGTTAAACGCATTGTTTTAGAGTTCGAAAAACACACGCGATGATTAATGTGACACATGGTTGAATTCAACTCAGTATCCTTCACGATAAAATACAAATTACAGTAAATTCTTTAACGATTAGAGATGATTTCGTTCAGAAATGATTCGATTTCGAGTGCTTTCCAATTTACAAAAGTTGCCAAGTGAAAGTTCTAATCCGGCTGCAAAATAAAAAAATAATAATAAATAAATAAAAACAGACTTTACAAAAATTTTGCGCTGAATCTTTGGTTTTTTGTTTTTTTATCGTTTATTTATACAATTTGTCAAGTCAGCTAAGCGTTTTTTTAATATGTACACAAACAAATACAGGCACATGTTTTATTTTAATTTATGTTTACATAGTTGTATATAATAATGTCCGTCTGTCTGTCTGTTTATTTACCGAGTGAGCTCTCAATGAACATTGCATTTATTATCCAACGCGACCAGTTTTTTTTCTTTAATCGATTGTAATTCTAATTAGACCGGTATTTTCATGTGCTGTGTATAATAATTTAGATATCTTTATCGGCGTGTCGGAATTGCCCAATTTATACACTCGACTGCAATACACCCGATTAGCGTTATCAGACGTCTGACTTACGCTCTGGTTGTATATATACTCTTTTTTTGCAACATCATCTGTTGCGCTACAAATAAAGAAATAAGAAGGGTGCTATTGTCGAGTGAGCTCGACTAAGACATACCCTGGACCCAGTTGTTAAAGCAAGAGCGCTCTGCCGACAAACACGTGAATATTCATACATACATACACATATACGTATACGCAATCGTAACGGGGTAACGGGACTCTGCAGCATTAATACAAATACATATTGACGCTCGCGTCGATTATAATGCCATCCCTTTCTGACACATGCGCTCGCATATTTATGCATACAGAAAATGCTTGCGGCTACGGCTACTGATAGAAATGAGATCAATCTGATAATATATTTTCGACTGTAACTTGAGTCTTTCTTATCCGATCTTGATGAAATTTGGGAAATTGATCAATAACATGCATATGCATATTATATATTAATTAGAAGATTCTGCTTTTAAAATTGTAGCATTTATCGCTATCGGAATTTTAAATGTATAGATAATCGAGAAACAGAGACAGCTATCGATAAAATAAAGCAAACTTGACCTGCGCCTGGTATACGAGAACCTATATTCCAAATTTGAAGTCTCTAGCTCTTATTGTCTCTGAGCTCTGCGTGTTCATTCAGACTGACGGACGAACAGGCGGACATGGCTATATCGACTCGGCTGTTGACCTTGATCTAGAATATACATATATACTTTATGGGGTCGGAGATGCTTTCTTCTGCCTGTTACATACATTTGCTCAAAACCATTATACCCTATTTACCCATTTTTAATGGGTTCAGGGTATAAAAAGACAGCTTGCTATATTAGATAAGTTACTATTGATTTGCAACAAGAGGCAACTTGAGTTGAACTTGAGAACCACTCCACATAACATGACATTTCTCATTGCTCATATTACTGATATGCAAACGTATCTATATATATATATATATATATATATATACATAGAGCTATTTATCAGACTGGTTGTTAGCACAGCTTTTGTGCATAAAAAGAGATCGCGTTTTTTTTTGTTGTTGGCCGCACAATAAAATGTCGCCGTAAAGTTGTAATAAAGTTTTAAAAAATACGCAAGCAGTTTCTCGTGTCAATCAATAAATTAATAACAGTTTTTATTCGGCTATCAATTTAAGCCAGACAGATATTTATGTCATACTTCTTCGTTTTTAACCGCCCTTTAATTTAACTGCAATTCTCAATTGATTGGAAAATATTTTTGAACTCTCAATCAGCACACTGCAGATGCAATCAACTAAATACATATATATATATATACCGTATATGACGCTGTTGATTGGAGTTTGTGTGCCAGATGTTGATTTGAGTTAAGTAAAAAAGAATTTTTTACTCATATATCATCTTCAACAACAACACAGCTGCCTGGTGGGACTTCAAAAGAATCTGTTGTTGTTTAAGTCCATTCAAAATCTGTCCCAAAACAATTTGGTCTTATTGAGGCCTTCATTCAAAAAACAAAAAGAAAAGAAATGCCGAAGATTAAATACCCTGTTAGATCGGAGCTAGGCTGCTGACACATAAAAAAATAAATAAATAAAAATAAATAAAATCAATTAGTTTTGTCATCTTCCTAAAATCTAAATTTGAAAGTATATTTATTATTTTCTCTATGATCTTGGTATTCTAATTGATTTATATATTTATATATCGTTCTTGCTTTCTTTGAACCTTTTACATTTGTTTTTTTGTACTTAATTATTAGTGAGTAATTTGAACGAATACAATGATGCACAGAATAAATCAGCTTACGTTTTCCAAATTCCTGCCAATTGTGAATAAAATGAATAATAATGCTTATGAAACCTTTAATTTTCAGGCTGCGCAAAAATAATAATTAAAAATGACGTGTTTTTTGCTGCAAACGTTGGCCATAGTACTTGTAACAAGTAAGCTTTAAATAAATATTTCAATACTTTTACGATAAATAATATTCGATTCGAATGCAGTTGTTGCTGGCAGTGCACAAAGTACAGTTTTTACCGTTGATACTCATGACTTGACCGTATTGCTGAATGCGCAGAAAAGTTTTGTGATTTATGCCAGGTGAGCGGCAAAAGATATATTTGTTCAAAACTATTCCTAAACCAGTATAAAATCAAATAGAAATAATGCTGATGAATATGTAAATGTGACTTTGGTGAAGCAACATGAGAATCATTTGGATTTGGAACCCGAATCCTTTGTTAGCGCATCTGGCGCTTCACTGGATCAGACTGTGGTTGTGACAGGACGACAGGCAGGACATGTCGAGATCACGGCCAGCAGTAATTCCAGTGATAAATCCATGTAAGATAAAACTGATTAAAAAAGACTTTTCTCACTTTTTTTATCAATTTATTTTGGTTGATTCTTTTTCAGCACCGATGGACTTTTTGTGCGTATTGTTGTCGCTAAATCGGAAGCGATTATTTATACATCTATCATTTTTGGCTGGATCTATTTTGTGGCATGGTCAATTTCATTTTATCCACAAATATGGATCAACTATCGTCGACGATCGGTTGAGGGCTTAAACTTTGACTTTCTCATGCTGAACATTGTTGGATTCACGCTTTACAGCATGTTCAACTGTGGACTGTATTTTATACAGAGCCTGCAGGACGAGTATGGGGATCGGCATCCTCGGGGCGTGAATCCCGTCATGCTAAACGATGTCGTCTTTTCGTTGCACGCCATGTTTGCCACATGCATTACAATTGGACAGTGTTTCGTTTTTGAGGTAAATATAGTTTAACTAAAATTACAATTTATTTTATTAATAATAATAATTGTGTGTGTGTAAAAAAGCGTGGAATGCAACGTGTCTCAAAAATCGCCTGGGGTCTGTTATTATTATTTGTTGTGCTCGTCATAGTATCAGCAGGCTTGGCTGGCGGATCTGTAATACATTGGCTGGATTTCCTCTACTACTGCAGGTTAATTCAAAAATATATTTGAAATAAGTGTTGACATATTAATATTAATAATACAAAATTCCGCAGCTATATAAAGTTGACAATAACTATCATCAAGTATATACCACAAGCCCTAATGAACTACAGGAGGAAAAGTACTGCCGGATGGTACGTAATAATAATAATAATAATAATATTTAAAATAATATTTCATAATAGCTAAAGTTTTGCTTATAAAAATCACTTTTCTTTTTCTTTTTAGGAGCATTGGCAATATTTTATTGGATTTTACTGGCGGTTCTCTCAGCATGTTACAAATGATTTTGAATGCGCATAATTATGGTAAGCACTGTAGACATTTATCATACATATGCGACACGTAATTTTGAAATTAATTTATTTATTTACAGACGATTGGGTTTCAATATTTGGAGATCCCACCAAATTTGGTCTGGGTCTGTTCTCAGTGCTATTTGACATATTTTTCATGCTGCAGCATTACGTATTTTACAGGTAATTCAATTAATTCTACTTATATGCATAATTATTAGTTGCCTTATTGAATATTTTCTTTTCATTTTTATTATTTTTGCTTTTGCAGACACTCGAATAATTTAACTATTTCCAATGTAACGGTGAACACAGATACCACAAAAGAGCTTGCAAATAGTGAGGCAACTGAGAAATAGAAAACTTAAAGATATTGTTGACTTGAACCTGTATAAGTTCATTTTAGATTTTTTTAATTCTTTTGTATACTGTATTTATCAATCCAAGGTATTAAAGCCAAACTGATTAAAACCAACAATATTTAAACTATGATTTCAAATTATTATAAGAATATAATATAAAGTGATATTTTTTTGGATTTGATCAATGATGAATAAAGAATAAATGAAAAATTCTTGGACTTAAAATGAATTTTATATTTCAATTTTTATAACTTGATTTATTTTACTGTGTCCAATGATAATTGTACTAAATATCTTTCCAGATTTTCTACGATCCCCAATTAAAATATATTAAATTGTATACTTTTCATTATATTATATTGAAATTTTTAGACAATATTATTTTAATATTTATTCTTATGAATGATCCGCAATACAAATAAAAATATGTAAAACCGATTTTATGGAATACCGCTAATGCCAATCGCGAACTTATCGACAACAGCTGTTTTTGTGTAGATCACATGTTTTTGCTCACCGCTGTGACTGCTAAGGTGGAAAGAAGAAGATACATGTTTATTTTGTTATGTTTTCAAAACATATTTGAAATAAAATAAATAATAAAAACAGACAAATACATGCCACATGTATGTATAATATTTGGTTGAAAAGAGTATGATAATTGAGGTGGCAATGTCTTCGAAGAAGAACAGGTAATGTCAAATTACGATCACTATCCACAAAAATTGACATGCGCATGCATGAACATGTTCATATTTACGAGGTGTTAAATAATTATGAATATATTTAATATAATAAATTCGCATTCGCAAAGCATTTATTTTTATTGCGCAACCTAATTACTTATTTCCCTTAGTGCTAATTTAAATTATTTATTTATTCTTGTGCACGAGCAAAAATTGTGACTGCTTGCATCGGTTTGTTGTTAAACACAAAGTTAAACATTAAATATCTGTTGAATAATTAAATGAAGTGCTTTAAATACAACAACAAACAGCAGCTAAAGTTAAAGCGCTATTACTATTTCCAGCCCTTTGGGTTCTTAATTAGAATACTAACATCAACTTTTCCACTTCTGATTGTAGAACAATGCTTGATTCTTCTGAGTTTATCAGCCAACTTAATTTTACAGTTCCGGTCAGAAATACAAGAAATTATCAACATATTTTTCTTCAAACTTGTTGTTCGAGTTGTGCTATCCATAACCCATTTCGGATCTTATGCTCAAATTATAATGTGTTTCTTCCATTAATATGTTGTGCTTCTTCCGTATCTAATATTAAGACAGTTGTGCTAAGTCATATGTCTAATAATTCGCAATGTTAATATAAAATGAATTATTAATTATTTATTACATTTCTGCAGACTAAACACCGATTTTCCAGCCACGGAGGAAGCTGCTGGCTTGGAATCTCAGGAAACGCAGGAAATTGATGTAACCGAGGATTTGTAAGTTCAGGCGCTAGCCAACAGGTGGCGCTCATTAGTAACGAATTGATTTGAATTGAAAATTGCATATTGAATTTTGAATCTTGAAATGAACAAGTTTACATGTAAATAAGTTGTGTGAAATTATCATCATGCTAGAGCTATATATGTACATCTCTTTCTAGCTTCGTGCTAGAATTACATTGATGATTTTTCATAAGTTGCATGATGAGTTTTTCATTCAAAAGTCTACAAATATTAATCTTGTATATGCAGATCTAATATATATACAATGTAAATACTCTGTATTTCGATTCCTTTGATAATTTTGCTCTTTCATATAGTTCCTCACAATCCTTTTTTAATCATATTTGCAGGGCCTTGGAGCCAATGGCCTATCTACAAGGCCTGAATGTAAGTACAAGTGTTAAAATGTGATCTTTATATTGTACTATATGTATTTCAATAATTAATTTTGGTTTACTTGCAGTCGGGCAACTTGATGCAATTTAGTCAGGTGAGCATCGTCTTATTTGAAGCGCTGTGACAAATCCGATTGCACCAGAATGACTGAAAAAGTAGCCACTGTGGAGAGGATGCTGGTTATGAGCGAAATGTCAATCTCAAACAGACCCATTGGCGTGATTTTGAACTTGATGGCGATGACTTGGAGTGAGAACGCATGGACACTTTGCTGATAGCGCCAATCAACCTGCTGCAATTGGAGGTGTTCTAAAATGCTGCCAGTCGATTGTGTGGCAACCAAAATGTCATTGCTGACATACGTTAGCAAGCCAATTTCCGCAATCGATATGCCGAGGAACATCAAATTGATGAGTGCACCGAAAGCGTCGTATGGTTTTCGGCCAATCACAGACTCTGCAATCGCATAATACTGGTCAAAGAAACCGATTGTGATGCCCAACAGATGGCAAATCAACGACAGGACTATCGAGAGCGACATTAGAGCCATATATTTCTCGGACTGTGTGCATATTATGTGATATTTCTCGGCGAGCACATCGATCTGATCGGCTAGGCTGCAATAGCGTTGTATGCGATAATAATTCGAGTGGAGTTTCTTTTGCTGGTCGTGTTGCAACAGATTCACCTGCTGCACTTGCATATTGAGACGTTCATTCAACGCTTCCACAATGTTCTTCGTGATGATCATTGCACCAAAATAGCAGCTATTTAATAAATTCGATATAACCATGGGCAACAGTTTGTACAGTGACCAGGCCCAGTTCAGATCCGGTTCATGTCGTCTCTGTTGCAAAATCAATGCAATTTCAATGGCCAGCGGGAAACCGATGCCTTTGACCAATGCCGCCACCACCGAATTCCTAACCGTGTCCTTGTCCAACTGGAACTCGTCGAGTGTCGTAAAGAGCGGCACATTGCTCATCATCTTTGCCACCCGATCGCTAACCAGCATTTGTGTAACGAAGTTGATAATGGCCACCGTAATGTTCATATAACTATATAGCTTGACGGCATCGTGCAGATTCAGTTGCGACTTCATATAATCCTCATACATTTGCCGCACATAGATACTTGAAAATAGAACAGTCACCATTATGGCATATGCCAAATATTTTCTCGAACTGACGAAACGTTGCCGACCCCGACGATTATAGCGTATGGCAAATAAACCGAATAAAGTCAACACCGAAATGAGCAACGCGAGCAGCATTTGAATGAGTTTCGCCTGGCCACGAATGGGTCGACGCGACAAGCGACTGATGCCAAAGGAGGCCATTTGCCAAGAAGAGTCGCTCACAGACTGACTGACTGACTGACTACAATTTGAATTGATACTTTATTGGCAGGCCGAGCACAAATACATTATCTTGATGTCCTGTCAAGCGAGCGAGCAATTAATCAATAAGCGCGCCAGTCGTAACTAATCTAACTACATACATATATATATATATATTTATATTTATTTATTTATATATCTCTCGATTTTCGTTTCGACTCGCAGCAATCCGTGTTGCGCGACATGATGCTACAGGATATCAAGTCACAGATCAGCTCACTGCCCAAGCTGATAAATCACAATAATGGTGACTATCACTTTGGCATGGTGCTCGATGAGCCGCCAAAATCCCACTGGATGTTCTCGCTGCCATTGAACAAACTCTACATACGCATGCATAAAACCTTCAATATTGATGTCAAATTTAAAACAAAATTGCCAATTCAACCATTGAATTTGCGTGCATTCCTGTGCTTTGTCAAGGATGTGAGTGGACCTGTGTTGCGCTGCCAGAATCATCTGAGCACCGATCCCAGTGAGTAAGGATTTGGCTAACCAAAATGCTCTCAATTCTAAATAATTCAGTTGCTTTTCAGTCAGGGACAATCAGGGTATGCGAGAGAGTCTGCTGCGCTGCGAGAATCCAAACACATCGTATTGTGGCACGAGTCAGGGCAAGAGCATTGAGGAGCGTTACTCGGTGCTGGTGCCTCTGAATATGAGTCGATCCAGCCATTTGGGTGGAGGATTTGTTCGACAAACGCTCGCTTTCAGTTTTGCCTGCCAGAATTCATGTTTCGGGCGCAAGGAAACCTGTTTGGTCTTCTGCTTGGAGAACACCACGTAAGTTTCTGCATTTAATTGCAAAACTTTTTCAACTAAAATCAAATATATTCTGCTTGCAGCGGTGATGTGCTCGGACAGCAGGTGTTATGCGTAAAAATATGCACCTGTCCGAAACGCGATCGTAACCAAGATGAACGCCATTTGGAGAGCAACAAGTGCAAAACGCCTTCGATTGCATCGGAAGATGAGGAATCCAGCGCCAAGAAGCGGCGTCGTCGAACTCTGCCAACGGATGTTAAGGAGGAGAACGAGAGCAATGATAGCACCGATGTCCAACCTGTACCATCTGACTGGGAAGTTACGCGTTCACTTGATGGCGACTATCGTCTGGTCGTCAAGTGTCCGAAGAAGGAGCTGCTCCTGCAGAGCATCGAGGGCATGATCGAGAAGACGGCTGTCGAACTCCTGCGAAATCCACATAATATAAAAATACGACAACATGCCAATCATTTGCTCAGCTTGAAAAGTATGTTTTTTTTTTATTTCGATTTAATCTATCTATATTTAATTCTAATCTATCGTTTAATATTATTAATATCATTGCAGAAAGCGCTCTGAAGTTGACTTAGCTTCAGATATGTGTGGAAGCCCAAATTACTTAATTGAAACACTTAAATTACGGACGATGACGAGGATGAATTTGAAAGTGCCAATTTTTGTTAAAATTATTACCTTATGACAAAGTACAATTTATTGACAATAATTTATAAATAATAAGTATTTAATTTGCTGCATCAAACGTTGATGTATTCTAAGTATTCTCTGGCAATAAGTTTCAAATTGAATTTTAACTTTAATACACTGAAAAATATGATGTGAATACGAAATTCTCACTGAAAAACATATATATCTTTTTGCCAAATTGTCTAAAACTGTTTCGGGCTAAGCCAAGTTATCATTTTAAAAGAATTTGAAAATCAACAGATTTTTCCTGATTACTTTGGAGTAAGATATTCAGTTCTTACTTAAATTAAATAGGTTTCTTAATTATAAACCATATATCGCATTCAAATACAAGTAAATCCTAACAGTTATCAGTTATCTAAAATTAACTAAATTGAGTAAATGAGATTTGAGTATGTTGAAGTTGATTTGATAAATAATATATAATATATACTTTATAAAAGAAAGTACAAATTCAACTGCAAACTGAGTTTTTCTCGATTGTCATTAGTAAACATAAACAAATGCATATTATTTTAATTATTATTATTTTTATTGAGTGGTGACTTTTCTAAATCAAAACCGTTGTTTCTACGGTCAATGCATCCAGGCATAATAGATATGCAGCCAGGCAGCAAATGTGGCAAGATATGCTTGGGTTTTCCATATGCCAGCATGAATTGCATTTTAATTTTACATTTTCTTTTCGTTTTTTTTGTCATTTTTTTTTTTTGTAATTTAAGTGAATGGTAAAAAAGCAAAGCAGTGCGCCACATTTCCGTTTCAATCTGGGCGTTTTTGCACATGTGCGAAATGGCAAAGATCAGCAAGCAGATGTTTGAGTTGTAAGCGTGTTTTTTTTTGCCACATGCACGCTTATCAACAAATAAACAGCACGCATTTATTATATTTAACTTTTACTCGTTGCACACACACACACACATATGCATGCATATGTATGTATGCGACTGCTCTAAGCACATGTCCATTGACATAGGACAGTGCCAAAGAAGAAGAAACAGAAGAAGCAGAAGCAGAAGCTGAAAACTCTGACAGGCGGAATTCGTAATTTTAACGGCTTTCTCTTTTTGGAAAGAAGAAAAAGCTCAACACATTTCACTCAAAACTAGTAAATATTGAGTGCATGCCTGTTATACACCACGTTATCAGCGTAAAAAGTTGTTTGCGATTGAGTAAAAACTTTCTTCAATTAAGACAACAAATTCAATCACTTATAACTTTCTGCTGTTTATAAATATTGATATCTTTTTTGTAGAAAGCAATTTTGATTTGGATTTTATATAAATCAGAAAATAATTGTGATAACCACTTTAAATTTCTTGCTTTTTTTTTGGGAATTTTTCCATAATTGTATTTCCTCTTAAAGAAAAACCTCTCATTTTGCTGAGAAGTTTGCTGCAAGTGTTATACACGGGGTATTTTTCCAGTTGAGTGAATACTTAGCCATTTTACTCGTTTCTTCATTTTATTGTTGTATTCATTTATAAGTAGAGTTTGTCGAGCTTTGCTTTCACACACATACTTAACTACTTATGCATGTGACTACTGCATATTAAGTGAAGATAGCAGGTGAAACTGCTCCCACATACACACATACATATGCATACGTGCCATTGAATTCCACTCAAAGCTCAGGCACCCAGGGAGAAGCTCACCTCTCCCAACAACAACAGCAACGATCGGTACTCATTTTTTTTGCAGTCAAAGCAGAAAGATGACGCGACGACGATGTTGGCTGAGAGAAAAATCTCCAGTTCGCATAGAAAAAGAGTGAGACGATGACGACGACGACGACGACGACGACTGGAAACGGTACGCGTTGCTTTTAGCTTTTTTCAGCTTTAGCTTTAGTTTCAGTTATGTTTTGATATCAGTCGCTTGACGCACGCGCAAAATTCACCACGCAAACGCTTAACGAAAAAAAGATATATTTTAATATATTTATTTAATTATATTTATTGTTTTGTATGTGTGTGTGTGAAAAATGGTGGAAACGGCAACAACAACAACCATAACGCGTGCCACAATCAATGTGCCAGCAACACCTGCCCCTGCCACGCCCCCAACAACAATTGCAACTGCAACTGCAACTTCAACTGTTGGTGCTTCTTCTTCATCCTCTGTTGGTGCTGTGGTGCAACGAAATGATGAAACAACCCGACACATTTTCAATTTGAAAATTATTGTTTTTCTCTTGCTGTTGCCGTTTGTTTTACTTGCCGTCGGCCTCAAGCACATCTTGGATTATCTCTTTGCACTTGGACTCAAAGAGAAGGATGTCAGCGGCAAGGTGGCATTGGTAAGAGAATGGAAGGGAATCGAAGGGAAGGGAAGCTTTATGCGAGTAAAACTGTATTGAAAGCTTTACCTATAAGCATTACAGCGTATACATATCTTATACAAATAGGAGTGTGAGAGAGAGAGAGAGGGGGAGTTGGTTGCTGTACTAATTATTATCCGACTTATCTGTCTTATACTGATCTGCACCTATAATCATTCCAGCTTATACATATATGCACATATGGGTCTAAGTATGTATGTATGTATGTATGTATGTATGTATGTATGTATGTATGTATGTATGTATGTATGTATATAAACGTCACGCAGTTTTCTTTTTCCGTTTCCAGTGGCTGCTTCTCTTGACATCCAAATGGGTGCGGCTCGTTTGTCTCGCTTACCAAGCAAAATTTGTATTGTTGTTGTTGTTTTATTAAACCAAATATTTACGCCAAAAACAGTCAACGGCTTGCACCTCACACAAACAAACACACAAACACACAAACACACATTTACTGTTGCTGTTTTTCCCTTGCTTGGAATGTGGAAAGTGAACTGAACTCTGATAATAATAACAATAATAATAATAAAAAATGAATTTTAAAGCTTGGCTAAAATTGCATTTCTTTAAATGGCGAAACCACTTAATTAAATGTTGCCCACATGCAGTCATAAATTCAGTTACGATCTGATGCTTGAAAAAGTCAATTGATAAGGTCAACACTGATGCCCAAAAATGATAACCAAGAGAGCCACACACACACACATACACATTTTTATATGGGAAGTGTTGTATGCATTACTAATATGGAATGTTTTTTTTTCCATCAGAATTCCATTTGCATGGCAGTTGTGTAGGTGTGTCCGATATACGAATTTGTACATACTCACATACACACATACAAATAGACATGTATATGTATGCGTCATTAAAGCGCAGTTTGTTATAAATATTCGGACGATCGTTTACACGGATAGCACCACTCACTAACACCAGTGCATAGTACAAGAAAACAGGTTTACTTTTGATGTGTTGGAATTTCGAATTTCAACTTCACTTTTGTTTTCGTTCCTTTGACAAAACTAAAAACGGTTGACTTTTGCACAGCTTCGCAATGTCACGGCCAAAAGTAAACAATGAACTAAAGATTACAGAATACAGAATACAGATAAGTATTCTCTTTATACACATATATGTATGTATACATATAGATATGTACATACAAATTTACAAATGTATACATAGGTTACGTTGTATCTCATTGTTTAGATAGTTGCAGATGTACATTAGATACAAATGTAATTGCTTCTTGTTTTTTATTATACGAAATTAATAATTATAAATAAATATTATAGTTTTACGAACCCTTCAAATATAGTTTGTAGACTGTGCAGTTAATTTAGTGGCAAGCACAGCACTCAACTGGGGTCAAATCATTTTAATTACGGTCAAGAGTCACTCAATTATTGTTAATTTGATGCACATCAAAAGCAGCATATTTAGACTTTACTGAATTATGTTAGTAAAGTGCTTCATTGTTTTCAAATAAAGCCAATTAATTTGTGCCAGTTTTTGCCCTATTAAGTCTCTAAGTAGTTGTATATTATCTAAATGTGTATTTAAACAGAAAATAGACAAACTTTTGGCGCCAAAAGTAACTCATCTTATTATATTGGCAAACAATATGTTCTATTCCCAAAGTGTTATTTTTTTGTTACTTTTTTTGTTACTTATATAATTATGAAACATTTGTGGTTTCCAGTATTCATGGTAAATTTCTCTTAAAGGAGAAATTTCTAAATTTCTGGACGATTTTTAGCGGAGCTTACAAGTGCATTGTAAAGTAGTTTAAAAATGTATTTGCAGTTTTTCATATTCGATTTACGTTTCTTAAAAGTAATTCTAATTCTCAAAAGTATATAGAATATGTTATTAATTTATGACCACTCCCGTTTCAGGTGACAGGCGGCGGCAGTGGCTTGGGTCGCGAAATTTGCCTGGAGCTGGCGAGGCGAGGTTGCAAGGTGGCTGTGGTTGATGTCAATTCTAAGGGCTGCTATGAAACCGTGGAGCTGCTATCCAAAATTCCCCGTTGCCAAGCAAAGGCCTATAAGGTGAGCAATGTTAACAAGTGATTTTAATAGTAATTTTAATCCAGTTGACCCCTTGGGCCACATACAGAATGATGTGTCCTCGCCACGCGAACTGCAGCTGATGGCTGTGCGAGTGGAGAAGGAACTGGGTCCCGTCGAGATACTGGTCAACAATGCTTCCCTGATGCCAATGACATCGACGCCGCATTTGAAAAACGACGAGATTGATACTATTCTGCAGCTAAACCTCGGCTCTTATATTATGGTATGTGCCTTGAACGAGCGGCTTAAATTGTTGTTGTTAGATTGATTATTATATTGATTTTAGACCACAAAAGAGTTTCTGCCCAAGATGATTACAAGGAAATCAGGTCACTTGGTGGCAGTCAATGCACTAGCAGGTTAGCTTAATCCCCATTTTTGTTGTTTTGTATCGTTTATTACTTTTTAATTTGAATCTCGCACAAAAAGGACTGGTGCCGCTGCCTGGCGCCGGCATCTATACAGCGACCAAATATGGCATTATGGGATTCATGGAAGCCCTACGCGCGGAACTTCGCCTTTCCGACTGTGACTACGTGCGGACAACAGTCGCCAATGCGTATTTGATGAGGACAAGCGGCGATTTGCCACTGCTAAGCGATGCGGGGTAAGCTACTTATTGCACAGAAATTGGCATATGAATCAGATACCCAAAAGACTTATTATTTTCCACAATAACAAAACCATAAGTTCCACAATTCTGTTATAAATTATGTATTTATTTAATGTCGATTAATATCAGTAAAAAGCCAACAAAATTAAAAATAAAATTTAATATTTTAGTTTTCGAAATTAAGAAACAATTTCTAACTATTAAAACTTTTTGCATGATTTGAGGTAAGCCCAGAAAAAACCAATCAGCCAAAAATGAGAAATAGTTTGTCAGTTAATACTCAACGATATTGCTATGGCCCCTACAAGAAATATCAAATTGAGGTGCCAATGATAGAAATGGAGTATACTAAAATAGTATTGTAATCAATAATTAGCTGCACAACGGTTAAGTGAAAGTGGGAAGGGCAGGTCAGGAGGCAACAGAATAATGAATTTGACTCATAAACACAGCGGAATTGAGTTAATTATTAAGTAATTTGACTACCAGCATAATAGAGAACATACCACGAGGGTTAGTTGGAGAAAGAAGGTCAATTAGAAAAGGCTATAGGTGCAGAAAGTCATAACGATGAAGAGCAAAAAGTAAGCATTTCTTCTGCACAATCCAGAATGGGGTATATTTAATATAATATATTTTAAACTTCATTTATATATCGATAAATAAATACATTAAAAAAGTAATTATAATTTAACTAATAATTTCATTAAAAAATGAGAAATATTTATAAAACTCAACTCAACTATTAATTTTAATTTTAAACATATTCTTTTTATTGAGTTAATTTGATTTTTTACATTTTAAACTTTCACTTAATTGATTTAAATTTTGAACCAAATATTTCTCATTTAATAAATATTCTTTTCAATTATCTAAATTACTTAAATTTTAAATTTATAGAATATAAAAGCATTAAATAAATCTTTTTTTTGCATATTAATTAATAGTTAATTACTTAATATCCGCAGGCTATCCAGCGCTTATCCTGGCCTTCCCACGTCCTATGTGGCAGAGAAAATCGTTAAGGGAGTCCTTTTCAATGAGCGTATGATCTATGTGCCCAAAATATTCGGCATCACCGTTTGGCTGCTCAGGTAAGAGTTATTAATTATTTGACAGCTTAATTCATGACATTCGTTTACTAAATGTGCTTAAACATTATTTCAGATTGTTGCCGACCAAATGGCAGGATTATATGTTGTTGCGACTCTATCATTTCGATGTGCGCAGCGCACACTTGTTTTACTGGAAATGAACAGAAATTTGCAAGAAAAACAGTCATTATGTGTTGCCATGGCACCTAGCTGACTTTTCCAGTTTTCAATTAAGCTGTAGACAGTTGTATTAGCATAAATTTTAGATATAAGCATTATGTACTATTTATTTTTTATAAATCAAAATTCAAACTAAATCCAATTAAATCATTTTTCTGTATTATGAATGTAGTATTTGAATGTATTTCTAGTAAACTTTTTTCCTTTCGCTACGAGCTTACACTTATTATTTACTAAGCAAGTCACAAGCTCGTTTCAGATAAATCATAAACTTACATTTATAAATATTCGAAATAATGAAGCTTACAAAGTTTTCTAATACTAATACCAATAATTTATTACTTATTTAATTTAAAAATATATTTTGTTGTATATTAATATGACTTGAATTATACCCAAACGTTCATATTTTATATTTATTTTTATTTAACAAAGATGCTGTTCCTCAATCTAGGCAACATTTTTCTAAAATTTCGAATAGTTATGTTTCATTTCCAGGGAACTTATTAAAAATTATGTATTTTTAGATTTCACATACTTCATGGAAATAATGATTTACTTCTACGAACAAAAGCAAATTTATTTACTGTTCGATGATTTGCATTTAAGGGTGATTTTCTAAATTTCAGAACGATTTTTTTCTAGGTGTATTCTCAAGTGCATTGTGGCGCACACTAGTTTTAACAGGTTATCAAATGCCATCAACATTTATTTGGCCGAGGACCCCATATGGCGCACAGGCTCAAGTGCAGGCAGGCAATGTGATTAAGTGAACGCTGCAATGTGAAACACACTCCAACCAAACTGCTGTAATGCGACATGTGCATAAACAAAAGCCAGAGCTAAAAACTGTTGCAATACTTAGACATACCCCTTAAAAGATGTACGTCTTTTTCGACGGTTAATGATTTGAAATTTATAAATTTATAAATGAAATAGGAAATTTCAATTACTTAAGTTCAGAATTAATTTCGTATTTATGAATTTAATGTAATTTTGAAAAAAATTTCTTAATAAAATTGGCAATTTTTATACATAAACACTTAATATATTTTTATTTGATCAATTTTTTCACAATTTTTATTTTTTTTAAGTGTAAATGTCGGCTTTACTGCAAACGCAAACAAAAAACAAGAAGCATCTCAGAAATAAATTCAAATTACATTTATGACATTAGGCACTGTTTGATGCTCGCAATGGCAAAGACCCCCAGGCACCTGAAGACACACATCCTAGGCACATGCACTCATAAAACCCCAACCCCAACACCAACCCCCAGCCCTGGGCCCTGCCCCTGCCCGTGCCCCTTTCCCTTGTTCGGTTCATGTGTGCGTTGCGCATGCGTAACTGAATTTTATCCATAAATAAAACGCACTAATTACATATGTGCTAGGGTTACAATTACAGTCGCCGAGGCGATCGGGGGCTCGTCGAGTGTTTTATAGCTGCATTTATGTGCTCTTGCCCCCGCGGAGTTCACTCGCTCATAACATCGATTTCTTACGGCATCTATATATGTATAGATATATATATATATATATGTGTGTACATATTTCCAAACAGTATTTGATTTGCACTGTTTCGGAATTTTGTCTATTGTTTTGTTAGTGGTTGTCATTGGCCCCAACTCGTTTCTTTTTCTTTTTTTTTTGTGTTTTTGTTTTTTCCGCTCAAGCTCTCAATGCCCTCCTAGTGCCCGCTGCAACCATCTCACTCCAACTCGCATGAGCAGCAAAGATTGCGAGACGTTGTCTGTTCGTCGCTCCATGTGGTCCCAACCCTCTGCTCAGGATAGTTAAGCTGTGTTTTATTTTTTTTTTTTTATATTTGATGTTTTCTATGTTCGACAGCAAGGAGCTCAAAATTATTATTATTATTATTATTATTCCTAGACAGAAGAAGATACTTGCTGCCATAAAAAGAACTAATTTATTTATGATCAGCATCACAACTGAATTTCAGTAAATTCAAAAATTCGAGCTAAACATAATTTAATAAATTTAACTATTTTTAGATGAAGTTCACAATAAAAACTTCAAATGTCACACTTAAAATTTATTTTAGCCATTTTTAGCATTGCTAATTATTATTTTTACTAATATTCAAAAGCGAAAAATGTTGTCTTGTATCACACACTCTTATTTTATTAATTCTATTTTCAAAATGCACTCTTTTCTATTATCAAACATATTTTCCGTTGCGACTGCAATATTCATACACACTTGTCAAGCTGTCAACTCGAAATAGAATATTTATGCGCTTTTATGAGACCGTCAATGTGTGTTTGAGTTTTGTGAACTCTAAAAAATGCTCACTATAAATAGGTTGGCAGCATGCAACAGGCCAACCGAGGTATAAATCAATTTTGGCCCCATACTGCGGTACCCAATAAAGCCATACATACATACATACATATATACATACATATTTACATTTCAGGCATGCAAGGTGGGATATGGTGTAAGAGAAAGAGGTTATAATTAAATGTTTTTTATATGTAGAGGTTTTGTTTTAGTAGTGATTTTAATGTTTGCCAAATAAATGAAAGCATTTATTTATTTTATTATTTATTTTTTGAACTTATTACCAAAATTGACTTCGGTTTAATTGAGTTTCTTCCATACTACAACTTTTTTTAATGTTTGACAAATAAATTGAACCTGTTGTCAAATTTGTCTGTATTAAATTCAATTAATAGATAATATGATCTATGTCAAGCTGTTTGTTTATTTAAAGACATGAAACGAAGATGGGCTAAAAACGTAGACACAATTTTTAAATGTGCATGTAAAATTATTAAACAAGCAAAGTGATTTATATGTGGTCTAAGCAAGCATCGTTATATGGATCCAAAGATATGGATACTCATTATCCAAGAACGATTACGAACACTAATTTTGACATAGAAACACATTTATGCAATAATAAATTTGCAAATCGAGAAAATAATATATTCAAAGTCCTTTACACCTCTGGCAACAGGGTATGGCATACGTCGATCACTTCCGCTTCAGTCGTTTGTTGAAAACTTGCTTGTTCCTGTGACTTGCTGCATATTTAATTCTTAAATGCCAGTCACAATTTGTTCCTGTCTAGTCCTGACTGCCTTTCTTGTGTTGCTCATTTGTTTGTGTTTATCCTTTCACTTTTAATTGTGCATAGGCAGCTGCTGCTGTTGACAGTATTATATATTTATGTGTATGTGTGTGTTGTCTCAGTGTTTGCTGTGCTAATCACAGAGTCGGCAGAGCGTTGATAGGGTATCCTTCAAGTGCCTGCGTTTGCTGTTTAATTCCTGGAGTGCTTTAGCATCGTGGTCAACAATTTAATAGCCTTGTTTTTTAAGGATTTGTGTTCCAATGTGAATGCAAATAATTTTGCAGTTATTGACTTGAATTAATAGTTTGGTTGTGCGTTTGGTATAAAGATTTAAAATATATAAATTTGTGTGTTTTTCATATATTTAACTTTCATAAAATCGATCAACACAAACAAGACACTCAAATAAATTATAAATGGCCTTGCTTACCTTACTTTACTCTATCTAGGAATTTATAATATTTGTAAAATGGTATAAATGCTAGCAGCGATCCATACGATACTAAACATTTTCATTGGGTTCCTTGAACCGTGTATAAATATGTCAATACCAATTTCTAACGCGTAGCTGCCAAAGTCGAAGATATTAAGAAAAAAGGACAGAAGGGAACCGACTGCTAAATAAACAGAGTGAAGAACAGGAGCTGGGTGTTGCTGAGGCAGCTGTGATTCGATTATCCTTGCAACAAGCCACACATTTCAAACTGTTAAATTATGACATGCAACTGTCAGCTCAAGTGCCGTTTGCCGTTGCGTGAGAAAATGTTATCCTTGTACCCCAAACAACAGACACTTTTCAATTTTCCTATGTGGATGCAGCAAGTGTGCTGCTGCAGTAGCACTAGCTGCTGTTGGTGGCTGTCTGTCCGTCCGCCAGGATCGGTTTCAGGTTCCTAAGTAGTTGTTGTTTTTTTCCTTCTATTTTGTGCAGCTAATTTATTTACTTTTGGCTTTGTTTTATGAGTTTTTCAGCTTTTCTTTTCTTTTTTTCCTTAAACTGAAACACATGTCATATTCTTACTTGGTGTTGGTGTTGCATAAGAAATTGTTGCTTCACAGGACATCATAGTGCTGCTGTCTATTAGGTCCTTTGTGATGTTTTTTTGTAGCTTCCCGTGACCTGTTTCAGCACTTTAAATTGGTGTTGACAGCCACGCTGAGAAATTGCCTCACCCTTTCTTTTATTTATTTTTTTATATATTTTTTTAGTTGGTTTTTTGAGTGCTCTACATTCTTGTACTTATGAAAATTAAAAAAAGTAATTAACATTCACGTTTCTAAGCACTCTTGCTTATCACTCTGCTACACCGCTTGCATATTCGCTGTCAGCTGCAACATCTGCTACGACACCAGTTCCTTAGTCGTGGGAAACTACGGCGCTCAGGCTTAATACAACTCTATTCGAACAGACTCTGATCTAAGTTCTGAGAGCCTGTGATTAACTACTTAACCTTTTGTACATTCCGAAAAAGTACCAATTGTAACTCTTCCGATTATTTAGAAAGTATAGGTTATGGCTTTTAAAAACCACGGTTTTTCTCTTCTTAATTCCGGGGAACATTTTTCTAAAAGGTTGGGAAAATATGTCTAATTTTCGGGTTGTTTCTTCAAGATTCTCTAAGCTAGACAGCACCGAAACTGAGTTTCATTACTATTTTCTGAATTGCAGAAAAAATGCTGACTACAAATAATGGTTCGCATTTGTACTTTGCACAAATATTTATCATAAAAATAAAGAAAAGCTTAAGAATTAATTCCGAAAACAAGACAATTTGTCGAGTTACAGTGGAAAATGTTGGCTACAATTTTAAAGTTAAATCGTAGTCCAGATATGAATGGTAAGTATTTATGTGCAGCAACTATTTAATTAACCTCAGAGTAAAATGTTAATCTTATTATATGCATACAAATATATGAAATCAATAGTAGACTAATTTATTAGATGAACAACAATTTTCGACTCGATTGTACGGGAGCCGTAAACAAAAATATTTACCAACAATTATGAATTTGATCATGAGTAAAGTAGAAATATGCCTAAATCAAAAAGCTACGGAAGAGGAGCTGTGGGTGCTCAAGAGCAAATTGAACAGAATTTTGAGGAATTACAAAAGATAAACAAAGGGCTGACTTTGCATACACTCACACACACACACACACACACACACACACACACACACACACACATAGAAGGCAGCAACTGTGGCGGCATTGGCACTCACAAATGCGTTTAATAATTTCCATTTGCGGCGAACTGGAAATGTGACAGCCAGAAAAGCCAGCTGCTGCTACTGCTGCTGCTACTGCTGCTGCTGATGTTGCCTCTGCAGCCGAAACCATCCAATTCGAGGCACTCAAATGTGTGTGAGTGCGGTGCGGTGCGATAAATTAATGCTGCCTGGCATCGCAAGTGTTGCAATCGGGCTTAGCCTGATGCTGCATGGAGCACCTCATCATTGTAAGTATTCTCCACATACATTTCTACTTTTGCGTTCAGGCAAATAACATAAAAATGTCACTTTATGGAAAATACATAAACTAGAATAAAGAGAACAAAATATCACATCTCTGACTTGCCACATCTCAAATACCCTCTGCATGTTGCTAAGCACTCAAATGTCTATGTGAAAGTATATAGAATTCGTTTACAGGGTACTTTTAAGTGCAGCAATCTTGGTTTTTTTTATTATTTGTTTGTTATTGTTTGTAATACACAAAATTTGTACAAGATCTAACACAACATCGACATCTGTGCAGGAGGCATTTTTTATATATTCCTACAATTGTCTCACTATTTAGTATCACTTGCAAACTCGATGTAAAAAAAAATACATGTACGTCATATGTAGAAAAGATCGCATTCCAATCAAGTTCTGTGCCAGGAAAACAATTTTCTAATATTAAATTATTGTAAATTGATAGTTGTGCTCAGATTATCTCGTAGTATAGGTCAAACGAGTTTAGTATTCTTGATTGCTACTTAGCTTTCAATATAAGTTTTAGTCGTCATGCTTAGCTATTCAGTCAACAATAATCTGTTGGGGACCCAGCATGTCTATAAGCAATGAGTTCATTAAACTGCAGTCCATTGTGGCGCTGGTATTGCTCATTTGCATCACTCCAATATTGCTGGTGGCAGCTGCAGTAACCTGTATATATAAATGGCTTGTTAAGCCCATGGAAAGTGTAATGGGAGAAGTTGCTTTGGTAAGTGATGAAAAGTGTCAATGATTGTTCTGTATTAGTTAGAAGTCTTTGCGCTTAAAATTTTACATTTTTTTGCTATTGCAAAACGAGAAGTATTTATTATTATATATATTATAATATTATATAATTTACTTTCTAAATTCGAACTATTCTATTCGAGCTATGCTGGCTTTTGTAGACTCTGTGATCAGCGGGCAGAACGATATGGTTATATCGACTCGGCTATTAATACTGATTGAGTATATAAATACTTTATCGGATTGGAGATGCTTCCTTCCGCCTTCATTTACATAAATTTGCCCAAGAACTATACTCTATTTATACTCCAATTATTCTTTTTCAATGAGTGCACAACATAAACAAAACTTATTGGGTTAGCTGTTATTGAACCATCATTGAATCGAATCTAGTCAGCTACAAATCTTGGTTAAGTACTATAAAAATGCACTGTCAGTTTGAAAGCAGTCAATTAATCAGATAAAATCATAGCTTGTTATTGACTTGAGGTACATGTCTCATTAAAGAGGATAAAGTCTGGAATTTAATTGACCTATTAAAACTGGAAACCTGTTCGCTTTCACTAAGTTGACAATTATTTCGTATACAGGTAACTGGAGGTGCTTATGGACTTGGCCGAGAAATTGCTATTGAATTGGCCAAAATGGGCTGTCATTTGGCCATAGTGGATATTGATTTAAATGGCGCCAAGGAAACTGTCAACCAGATTCAAGGGATGTATAAAGTGCGCGCCAAGGCGTATAAGGTATGTAAGCCCGGAAACCCGGTTATAATTATCGCTACAATATATATCATATATATATCTGAACAAAGGTGAATGTAGCCAATTACACTGAACTTGTTGAGCTGCGATCAAATATCAACACAGACCTTGGACCTGTTACCATTCTGATTAACAACGCCGGCATTCTGTTGAACAAGACTTCTGAACCCAACGAAATTCAGCGTATGATTGATGTTAACCTCACGTCCCATTTTTGGGTGAGCCTATATGCAAAATTAGATCTTGCTATTCCTCTATTTATTTACTTGTCTTTTAGACCAAGGATCTTTTTCTGCCCATCATGAAGGAGCTGCGCAAGGGGTACATTGTCAGCATCAGCTCTGTGAGTAGTAAGTATGCCCATTTATTTATGCCTTATCCTCTCAGTAGCTGACTTGGTGCAGGTTTAAACCAATATTAACTTAAATTCGATACGCATTTGCGAATAAAATCGGTTGATATTTGTTTGGCAAACAGATATATGTATGCACATACGAGTATCTATAGTTGCATAAGTCTCGCCACTTTACTGTGCATAAAACTAAATCATAATTAACAAAAGCCAGGAATAATAATAATATAAGAAAAATATGAGCAACAGTGAAATAGAAGTCCTGTTTTATCTGTTACTTTAAAAAACTTTGTTAAGTAATACTCTATACTATACATATGGAATGGCTTAGGATTGTGTATTGCCATAGCTTTTGATCATGCCTTAGCGTCTTATTTAAACAATCAAAAGCAAGTTTTTGCTATAAGTTCTGCCATTTTATTATTATTCATGTAATAAGTAGACTTATTTTATTGCTTATAGCACTTAGAAAAACTTACTTGAATCAATTATTTGAACTGATTTCCATCGAAATGGGTTTTAAACAACTAACGCAATTACATATATAGGTTTTTATTATACAATAATTTAGAGCTAATATGTAGCGTATTATGACTATATAAATAAATACATATATTATTTCAGTTTGCTAATTTGCTTAACTCTTTTGCTACTACCAGGCCTCATGCCAATACCCTACCACGGCTGTTACTCTTCCACCAAGTTTGGGGTTAGGGGCCAAATGAGTTCACTGCGAATGGAGCTAGCTCTTGGTGGTCATCACAATATACACGCCTGCACCGTATTACCCTGGTTCCTCGATACAAATAATGCGGTTTTGGATTTGACCAAGAAAGCCAATATTCACTATCTTTATCCGGTGATTAGCGGATCTGCTGCTGCTCGTCGAATTGTTGAAGGAATGCTTGCTGGCGAACGGGAAATCACTTTGCCAGCTATACTTGCTATAATGCATCGAGTGATATAGTAAGTATATGATTTGTACCGAATGTTGTGCTATTAATTTCATATATATCGTTTCGTTCTCAGCCTGCTTCCCATCAGCTGGCAGGAAAGAATAACGCTCCTTTTAGCTAGTAAGCAACTTCAGGTGTTGAACATGTTGCAGTCCTGAACGAACTGTATTTTGTTATTTTTGTATTAGCTTTGCTGAAATAAATCTGAGGCTATATTTTAATACTCATTTTTTTGTGTTTTTTTTTGGGTCGAACCATGATGATATAGGAAAGATAAGTTTTAAGCAGTGGGGTCGACATATATGTCACCACTTCTGATTTAACGAATGTGGCATATTCTGTCGTGATACGGAAAACATATAAGTAAAATGTGAAATGATGTGTCGGCAGATTAAGTCCGGTCTATGACGGTATATTAAACATTCGTCTTTCTTTTCACATTTTACCAGTTCAGATGTGCATACTTGCATTTTGATAATTATTTCAATTTCATAGCGGTCTGTTGGGTCATTTCGCATAAAAAGCGTTTTAAATATACTTTGCTGTGGATTGGTCAGCATGGTCAGTCCATGGCATCCTTTGCTGCATTGTATTTCACTCTGAGCGAGTGCAGCGATGACATGCAATCAACTCGTTAGCCGCCACACGAGTTTGTCGCTTGTCGTTTGTCGTTTGTCGCCTGTCGTTTTTGGGTATTTTTTGTTGTTGTTTTGGTTTCCTGTTTTTGTATTTTGTTCACTGCATGTATTCTGGATTCAATGCTCGTGCTGTGTTGCTCATTATGCAGCTTTTATGAGGTCATTGAGGGTGCATGATTTATATATTTAACAAAATGAAAAAGCTTAACAAGTTAAAACGTTGCTGCACAGAGCAATCACGACTACACAATACTCTGCATCTAAACTGAAGAGAAATGGCTTCCTAATTATGGAGTTGGCTTGATCTGAAAATAGACTTTTAATGTTACACAAATTCTTAAATTAAGTAAAAATTATTCTGAAATCAGCTTTTGTAGTTATTAATCGAAGGGAAACACAGATCGGAATTAAAATTAAGACTATTTAAAGCGTAAAATAGACTATTTCTTAATTAAAGAACGAAAATTCTTAATCTTGATCTTGATAAAGTTCTGAATTCCAAACTCAAATCTAATCCACTTAATTTTAGAACAAATTAAATAGTTCTTAGCCCATATACCCCACTTTGTTTTACGCTTTTTGGTACAGGGTACCGATAATACGCGCAGCAAGCTATTTTAAAATTTGATAGACTCATTTTGGCCCGGCTTGCGTTAATTCTGCAGTTGTTGTTTTTGTAGTTTTCACTTAAGCAAAAAAAAAAAAAAGGGAGGGCAAACGCAGAGGCGTTAAATTTACGCGGCAATAGAAACAGTTTAAAAACACTTCCCCGCACTAAAGAGGTAAAGTGCCTCGCATTGTGGCAGTCTGAGAAGAAATTGTTATCAAAGTCACTGCCGCATTTCTTGTGCGATGAAACCAAAGTGATTTTCTTTTCTAGCTGCTACCGCATTATAAATCTGCATCTCTTCTTATTCTTGTTCTTCATCGTCCAACTGCCTTGCAACATCCGCTTTACATTTTTTTTTGTTTATCTTTATGCTTGCAGAATTAATGCAACACATTAAGAAAAATGTTGCAAGCACTTTCCCATCGTTGTCCACCATTTGTCCTTACCAAAAGAGCTTTTGCAGGATTTTCATTCACTTTGCAGCATTGCATTATAATTTTAATACTCTATGCGTGGCATATTGAAAAAGTCCACACCGATATTAAAATATAGATTTAATTTGGATTGTGATAAATGGTCTGTGTTCAAGTATTCTGTTTTGCTTTAAAGTCTTTAAATTAAATGCACTTTGGTCATATGAATCATAGTTCTCAATTAAACTGAAGAGTATTCGCCATTTATATATTTATTTTATTTCTTTGCAAAAGATTTGTATACATGTACATTCTTACATATTTTGATAAATTTTCCACCTTTCATTTTGAGTTGGCAACCATTTTTGCTGATGTTACTTTTGCATATGCTACAAATTTTTAAATTGTTTAGTGTTGAAAATATTTTTGTGCTAACAACGCAACTAGATATGAAACGCTGACTGTAAGCATTGAAAATATATACTGAAAGTACCAAGAATGAGATGTGCCTGCATTATTTATATCCTTGGGCAGTAATTAACCCATTTGAAAGACAATCATAACAAGACGCAAAACAAGGAAAATGCTCAAATCAACACAATCAATCAAATAAAGAGTATCGTTAGTAATTAATATCTGTGCTCGAACTTTAATCATTTAAATATTTGTGGGAAATCTGCATCAAACAAGACTCACACAAAATCAGAAGAGGCGATAATGATGCGTGACTCACACATACAAATTTGTATATATATATGTATATATATATATATATATTTGTATAAGTATTATGGCCAGACGTGTCTCTGGAAACGCCTCAATGGCTGTCTGATTGAAGACTCAAATGTGGTGTTGTCAGCGCCTCGTTTTTGTTTGTCTTTTTACACTAACGCGTACTTTTTAATTTAATAAGGGCTGTGGACAAATGAAGAACTTCCGTTCCTGATTATCGACCCAAAATCCCCACTGGGAGACATATTCGACTTTAATCTGTTGACGAAGGCGTAAATATTTATCTGTTAGTGCGTGGGAAGATTTTAACCCTTCGTCGTATTGGGGCAAGAGTCTGACTCTCCGCTCACCTGGGGTCAGGGGAAGAGAAAGTGAGAGAAATTGAAGTGAAGGGAGCGAGTTAGCGAAAGATTAAATGCTGTCTAGGAATACGGAATCGAGATCAAGTTCTTGCTGACTGAAAAGTATGTTTATATTTAAGACAATCGATTTTCGAATTTCAAGTACAATTGGGATCGAGTTTCCATGGTTTTATCTAATTAACACAAGGATTGAGTTCAGAAATAGAGATTTTTAAATAAGAACTAAGTAAAGAGCCTTATTACATGGCGTGTGATATTCACAGAATGAGAGATAGCGAAAGATAAACTGAAGGAAATCGGAATTGAGTTCAACATTTTCTCGATTAAAATTGTGCTTGAATTTCTATGGATTCCTTTTATTTTTGTCAAATTCAATTAAATTTTTTTGAAATTATTATATTTAATTTTGATAAATATTGATTTTAAAATAAAATAAAATAAACGTTTCTTCATCTCTGCCTAACGCCTTTCGATCTTGCTCCGACTTTGAGCATTTAACTATATATTTCAGAGTAAATATTCTGATATTTGATTATGAGGATCCATTACAGCTGGCTTCTTGTTCTGACAGGATAATAAAATAAAGGATACAGTAGGCATCGCCTACAAAAGGATTTCACTCGTAAAGTTTCTTAACTGTCTTGCATCCAGTTTCAGCTTATTGATCATAAAACCAGTATATTGAAATTGATTTGGGGGCGTGTTTTGGTATCACATGGCCGCGGCTCTTTGTACCGTTTGTTATGCAGTGCGGCACTAAAATGTTTATAAATACAGTCAATTTGCTGTCAACTTTTGAACTAGTCACACATGTTCTAGCTCGACTTCGTATGTGAGTTGTAAAAATGTCAAGAGGTCAAAGCACCAGCACATTATAGTAGTATGTGCCTATGTGCAAGTGCGATCTGTCTGACAGAGTGACACTTTTCGAGAGCAAACACAAATTTATTCAAAACTAAAACAAACTATGTATATATCTATATACATATATAATTGTGCACAAACAAATCAAGCAGCAAACAAGCAAGGAAAACAGCGACCATGACACGCATGTCAGCGCAATCATTTGACATTTTGACAGACATTTGACTGGGTATACTATATGTATATGAGCCTTGTTTAAGTTTTAGTCGTAGCTCAGATTACGATGTATATATTTCTGAGAGAGAGAGAGAGAGAGAGAGGGAGAGAGAGAGTTCACGAAATTTGTGTTTTAGGGGTTGACAGTTTGGCCGATGCGTCAAGTAGCTTGTGAACAAAATACATCTGCTAAAGCGATAAACATTTATCTAAACGGGTTTTCTGATCAATGGACAAGCCTGAGTTATGCTGGCAGCTAAAACGAATAAATTGATTGAATGCTAATAGTGTTTTAATAGTGAGTGCCAATATCATCATTAATGCACGTATTTTGACGCCAATATCATCATTAATACACATATTTTGACGACTTAATTCGCGGTGTCCAATCAATTTTGCGTGGAAAACATGGACTGACATTTTAATTAAAGGATCTTTAAAGGAGTTTCTCATTATTATGGATGTGCTGCACCCATTAAATAGGTAAACATTTCTACAACAAACAAGTGGAGAATGTTCTAGCAGAGAGTGCACGACTTGGAGATACCCAAGCCTAATACAGTAGAACTTTATGCTCTTGCAGAAGCATTTGTTACTTTATTTTTTATTTAGTTTTAAAAATATATTTACAATTAAATGAAACATAGAAGTTATGAGCAAATAGATTTAATATTCATGTATTTAATATAGGATACATAATGGCATATCAAATCTATTTCGGCAAGTGCATTTTGTGCTTGTTGTATTTTATTTACCAATTTTCATCACCGCAGACGTGCGTGCATCACGCACCACGCCACCACCCACTCCATCCACTGTGAAGTTGGCGAGTTGAACAAACAGCGAATTCAGCTGTGGTCAAACGGGCGCTGTTCGCGTAAACTGCACAAATTGTTGAAAATATAAAAAACAAGTATACATTTTGCACTGTTTGCAGCATACAAATATTAAATTTCTGTTTAATATTTTGTCGTCATTTTGTAAGCAATAAACAATACAGTTCAAATGCAAATACATCACTTTTATTCATTTTATTAATTTTCAGAAAACTTTTAATTTTTTAATTTATGTGAGGTACGACTTTTATTAAATATATTTTATTATTTATTTTGTTGTTAATCACTTTATTTGTATTTTGCCACTATTTGCCAGACATCGCTGCGTTAAATCTTTAATTATTTATTTGTCAGCGGAAATGGCTAGGTTTTTTCCCAGAAACCCAGACATCGTCGCACGTCATTCACTAAAATCGTCAAAAATAAGCTAAGACTGCTCAAGTCGAAAGTGACCAGCAGGCATATACCCTGTAACCAGCCATATATGAAATAGCATAGAGTTGTTATTAAAATAATTTTATACACACCACAAATCTTTTATCGTTATAAGAGATATATTCTTAATATATGAATTATCAAATAAGATAGAATGCTCACACTTAAAATTGAATGCAAAATTTTTGTTTTCAAAATTCTACAGGGTATACGAAATCAATATTCCGTCTGGTCGTCAGCTTAGTCACAACACTTGGGACAAGTGGCGTCCGACTACTTGGCTGTGGCCCGGGTCCACTAAATTTAACAATGATGTAATTTGTCGCACTTTTCCAAACTTTTCGTCATTTTATGCTCCGGCAGAGGGTATTAATATTTTTTCGTGAATTTTTGAACGCATTGAAAAAGAAGCCATTAGGTATATGTATTCTTAATCAGCATCACTTTGTCGTTATAGCCATCTCCGTCAGTCGGTTCGATTTACATTTTGGTACAAAAAACTTTGAAAATTTGATTACCAAGAATTTCGTATCAAACTCATCAAATATATATATATATATATATATACAAATCATCAATATCTTATGCAAAAATCACACATTTCTTTAAAATGTGCTATTTATTTGATCAACTTATTTCTTAGTTTATTTTTCAAATTTTCTTAACATTATTCTACAACTTGTTGAAGTTGAAGTTTATTGTCTTTATTATTAAAATAACTAACTGACAAGTGACGCATTAGTTGTGTTTCTCATTATAATTATTGATTTATTTATTGGACAACAAATCATTAACATTGCTCTGCCATATCATAACAATGATTTTTTTAAATATATTAATATTTAGATGTCTGGAGATTGATTGCGTCTTGTAAGTGTATATAGTCTTCGACGTGTTGAGGACAGCTGTGACTGCTTGTGTGTTTTGATTGTGTGTGTTTTGCTCTGACAATCGTCTTGGCGTCCGCATTTTCTCAACATGCATATAAATGGCAAATGCTCAAGTGGTAAATTGTTGTGTGTGTGTGTTAAACGTTTACTGAATTGAGTTAATGCGCAGCAGTAAGGCAAACAGCTGTTGCTCCTATTGGGCGCAAAGCGCGCGCCAACCTTTGATGCTTGCCAAAACATAAATATTAATTAAGTACAATGCAATATACGTACATGTATTTATATTAAATTATATGCAAAATTTGACCAAATAAATGTTGTATTTTATTGACGTCGAAATGATGGCTAGAAATTTGATCTAGCTGAGTCATGGTGTGGAAATAGTGCTGAACTTTAAATGTTTGTTATTTAAGAAATATTATTTATTTGAACGCATCCACTTACAACAGAAAACATGCAAAACTTGACTGAATTTATGTCGTCTTTTATTGGCATGTCTTTTATTGATATGTGTATCTCTTAATTAGTTTGACTTGTGCATTAACTAGAAATTTGTTGCACCTGAGTCATGTAGCGGAAATAGTGGCGAATTTTTAAATTAATTATTTTCTACTTGAAAGCATCCACTTACAATAAACACATGAAATGTCAGATGCCAATATGTTACAAATAAAGATGCAAATAATTCAAGTTGAAATCGATGAAGCATCTTAACTTTATTAGAAAAATTGTAAGTAACTTCAAATTATCCAACTCGAGTCGATTCCTTAGGAAGATAGTATGCTAGGATATCATGTTGTAAATAAGTAAATAACTTTATTAGTTAACTTTAATTTAATAAAATCAAATTATTGAGCAGCAGTTTTATAATTTGAACGGGGAACAGCGTGTCTAAATGCAGCAAATTGCATTTTGCAAAAATAGTGTGGCAAATGCATTTTTGCAGCGCAAATTAAAAACATATTGTCAGGCCTCTTGCCTCCGCTGCATAATATACTAAAAATAGCCAAAAAGAGTGCAGTTGAAGTTGTGCACATACACGTGAATACATATATATATATGTGTATGCAGTAGCGGTAGCAGTTGCAGTTGCAGTTGCAGCTGAAGTTAGCAGGAGAAGGAGAAGTCGCATGCACTTGAGGCCAGGGACAGGCCAAAGTGATCAGCATCAACACTCTTCCCAATTGCCATGAGTCTGTGCCTCTCTCCCTGTGTGTGTGTGTGTGTGTGTGTGTGTGCGTATCTGTGTGCATTATTTTGCCGCATGCCTCTGATGAAATAGTTTTTGTTGTTGTTGGGAAATGAGTTGCCTTAATAAATATAGCTTCATAGTCTCACTGTATTTTAATGTGCCGCTTGTCGCACTGCCTGAAGCAGAGACATAATATTATGTGGCAATAAAAAATAGTGCTAAAACATTCGACAAATGTTCAGCGAGCAGCGAGTTGCAATTGGAACCTAAAACAGACTTGCAACATGTGTGCCCAGTGGCTCGAAAAAAAAGGTCCCCGGTCACGCGCTCATCTGGATATATAAATGTAAATATAAATATGTATACAGTTTAGGATATTGCTCTCTTCTTATAACTTCATGTTGTTTGGCAATGAATATTTACAATTTACATATGCAATAATAATCCATAGCAAATTTCATAGCTCCAACTTTATACACGCCCAAAAAAATCGAGTTGATTAAGCTGAGTGTTTAGAAATACGACACGTATTTTTTTAATTGCAATTAAATAATAAATGTAAACATGTTTTTAGTTCAATTCACTGCAATAATAGTTATTAAGTGTAACAGCAAAATATGATGTGAAAATTACTTTCAGAGAGCTTTCATTTTAATGAAAGAAAAGTTAAAAGTTTAAAAAATATGAGATCTAGATTTTATTTTAGAAATGATTATGCGAAAGTTTTTATATTGAAGTAACATTTACCATATTAGAAAAGTAAAAAAAAGGAATTACAAATTTGTAATATTTTTTTTTGTTGTGTAGCTGCTCGCGCATAATTTCTATATGCTCGTGCGACGATCGTGGAATAGAGAGCTGTGCAGTGGAGAGGGGAATTACTAAAAGTACGAACTAAAAAAAAAAGGCAGACGCACATGTGCGCGTGTAAAGGAGAAAAATCCAAAGAGCAGCGACATTACAACAACACCAACAACACCAACAATAACAATAAAAACAAAGACAACAAAACGATCATGACAGGGTGTCGCAGCGAGTAGCGAGCAGCTAGCAGCGGACAACGAGCAGTGATCAGTGAGCAGAATTGGGAGCAGCGACGTGAGCAGAGCCCCCGAGCTCAGGACAACCAACGAATGTACCGTTCCGGGCATTTAAATATCGTGCAGCAAGTGAACTACGGTTTATTGTCAGACACAACGCGGTGGCGTGAACAACACAAGAAGAATATATAATATAAATAATTACGACACAGCAAACCAATTCAAATAGAAAACTCTATAGATACGTGTGTGTCTCCGTGTGTATGTGTGTGTCTCTGTGTGTGTGTCTGTGTGTGTGCCTGGGATTTCCCGCGAATTTTGGCAACTGGCCGAGCGGCCGAGAGACCAATAGACTCATTGTGCGTGTGCTTGATATCTGTCGGAAGTGTTAAATGTAACAGCAACTCAATCAGTTTGAAACTATATATATATATTTATATATATATATATATATAGAAAATTCAAATGTCTTCCACAATGAAGCAACAGCAACTTCCACTATCCATTCCCAATCACAGCGCCGAGATGTTCACCAAAAATAAAACATACAATGAGAATGTTTGCTATGATGCCTTCATGTCGCCACCATTAAGTGCCAGTGTTGGCAAGGGACACGATGATTTTCAGGCGCCCAAAGTCAACTTCACCAATAATACGAATTTTACCTGCGCCGAATTGCAGTTTCCGGATTTTTCACATCTATGCTTCGCCACGGAGACACCGAACTCTGTGTTTAGTGACTATAATAACTATACGGGACCGGAACAGGATAGGGATAGGGATGATATTGTGTGTGCTGCTGCCGGGCAAACGGGTATGCCCTATCAGCAGGGTCAGTACACTCAGCTAAATCGCGAGGATGTCTTTCGGTTCGAGCCGGAGGACATTGCGCGGCTAACGGCAGACAATGGATGTGGTGGAGGTGGAGGTGGAGCCTTCACTGAATCGATCGATGGCTTAATGCAGGTGCCACAAACACCCTTCACGCCGTGCAGTGGGCCAAGCGGGTGTCAATTGGGTGGTATGGCCGCACAGGTTGTCGAGCCGGTCGAGTCGGTCGAGTCTCTCAATCAGGATATTGATTACTTTAATTATGATGAAGTTAATTGCCAATCAAAAAATCAATCACCCTGCTCGTCGCCACATTTGGACGCTTGGTTGAACTTTAACCTCAGCGAAATATCGCCGGCGGAAACGGTGCGCGAATCCTCACCGAAATTATGCAACATTTACGAACAACAACTGGCGCATATTAAAGTGGAACAAACACAGACACAACAACAGCAAAAGTTGCCATCAATGAACTCCACTTTTGGTACACCCAAGTGTACACCGGTGTGTGGCACCTACGGCGATTACTCCAATCTTTACAACAATCAAAGTGTTTACGGAAATTTAAATGAATACGCAACGGAACATTTTCAAAATAACATCTCACAAGTTATTGAGAAACCCAATCGTGAACATAAAGTTATTTGGACAATTGATGAATTGGATGAACTGAATGCAGCCCTGGTGCTCAACGATCAGGTTCAGCAGAACTGTGAGTCCAAATTTGATAAGTCTGACTTCGCATTGGACAATCTGCCAACTGTAACAGTGGAGACCTTGAGCGAAGAGCAACTCCTGACGGCCAACATCAGCGATGATGACAATGACAAGGATGACAATGACATTGATGATGTGTTTGCAGCACCCGTCGAACTGGAGAGGAGACCTGAATATGCCGATTCCATTGATGGTGAGATTGAGCAGCCCGGTTCGCTTATTTGCCACTGGTCCGAGTGCAACATGGAGTTCGCCCATCAGCAAATATTTGTGGAGCACATCGAAAAGTGTCACGTGGATGTGCGCAAGGGCGAGGATTTCTCCTGTTTCTGGCTGGACTGCCCCAGACGCTACAAGCCATTCAATGCCCGCTACAAGCTCCTCATCCACATGCGAGTCCACAGCGGCGAGAAGCCCAATAAGTGTCCGGTGAGCTCACAATCTCGATATAATTAATTCAATTTATTCAATGAACTTCCAAGTATTTATATATTCAATCTGATTAAGAAGAATAATTTTCCATGATTTTTCACAACAAAATTTCGGAATTAAAAAACGCTCTCAGTCAATAATTCAAAAATATATCTCATTTATTCACATTTCTTAGAAATGTGGTTTATTTAAAACAATGAACTTTCCCAAGAAATTTCTAAATTTTTAATATGCTAAAAACGTGTCTAAAAATTGCCTTTGCCACAAAAGAAAAAATTGATTTCCACATTCTTGTGCATCTTTTTGCATCCAAAAAAGAAAGAATTCCATTAAAATTGTTCCAGCAATATTTTGTCAAGAGAAACTAACATTCCAAACTGTCCGCTATTTATACAAATATTATTGTTTACTTCGAACGGATGTCATTGTCATAAACACAAAAATTAAAAAAAGAAAAGAAAAACCAAAACAAAAAATCCATTTGGGTCTTACTTCGTAAAGCAAACACGGTTTTTCACGAGAGTTTCTGCGTTCCACTTGAAATAGTGCTGTCAACGACAATGATAATATTGTAGAGGCAAAAAGGCTCACAGGATGAGCTACAGTTTCACCGATTCCAAATGCTCTTTCAAATGTCATTTTTTTGATGTGTGCAACTGACTGAAAAAGATTGTACACCAAGGCCATCGACACACAACACTTCGGAGCGGCAATTAAAGCAGATTCGCAAAGCAGTTAAGCTTTTATCGTGGCTACACTTGAAGAGAAAATATAGACAGTTTATGTACTCGTATACCTATTGTGCCTGGCTAAGAAAAGCGTTTTTCGCTGAGTGTAGGAAATGGTGACGGTGCTGCAAATTCTTGCAACATTTGCTTGCTCATGTCGCTGTGCAACTGCATCTCTAAATGTCAGTTGAGTGCCGCGAGCACGATTGAGCATATTGAATGATGAAATTCTTGCCACTTTTCATTACAGTTTCCGGAATGCAATAAGGCATTTTCACGTCTGGAAAATTTGAAAATTCATCAACGTTCGCACACAGGCGAACGGCCTTATGGCTGTCAATATAAGGGTTGCCTCAAAGCGTTTAGCAACAGCTCGGATCGTGCAAAACATCAAAGAACACACTACGATACGGTAAGTATTCATTTCTCTCTTTCTGAATAGTGTAAGAAAAGCTGCATGTGTGTATGTGTGTGTGTGTGTGTTTGTGTGTGTGTGTGTGTGTGTGTGTGTGTGTTTGTGTGCAAACAATTTGCGGCTGGTGTCAAATGAAATTGATGGGCCAGCAGCATTGGTCGCCCAGCAACCGCAACAGCAACAGCAACAGCAACTTCCATTTACATGCGGCTTAAAGTTTAAGTTTAAGCTGAGAAATGCTCGGAATAACTAAGACAGATTTGCCTGGATTTTGGTACAAATGCACAGCTGCTGCTCGGCAAAAGCTATCGCTGCTGTTGCTGCTGCTGTCGCTGCTGCTGCTGCTGCTGCTGCTACTGCTGCTGTTGTTGCTTGCCTCTTTGACATGTGCACATTTCGCGTTTTGTTGCCTGATTGATTTATAGCTCTTACGTGCATTTGTGTTGTTGGCCCGAACGAATAGAACAGCAGCGGCTGTTGCAATTGCCCCGTTGGCAACCATGACAACCGGAAAAAGTCACATCCAAACAGCTAACAGCTAACAGCAGCACAGCAAATGCCAGGCAAAGAAATTGAATAAACTAAACGAGTTACTTTCATGCTCCATGCAACGAACAACCAATCTGAGGCACACAACGATTCGTTGACCGCGAATAGCATCTATGTGTGTGTGTGTGTGTGTTGAAGTGTGTTGTGTGGCTGAGTGCATGTGTGTGTGTGGGTGTGCGTATAAGTGTGGTTTCGGCAGCCTCTTTTGCTAGTTCTGTTTCTGCTACACTCAGATTAAAGTGTGACCAAAAATTAAGATGCGCCAAATTATTATTTCTGCATTGCTGATAAATTAATGTATCTTATATTTAATTTATACTTTTATACTTAATTTAAAATTTAATTAACTCATTTTTTTTCGTATTTATTGATGAACATACTCAGCTAAAAAAAAAATGGCCCAATTTGATTTGTTTTGTTGGTGAGAAACGGCAAGTTGTTTCCTTCCAAAATCCAGGGTTTTTCATTGTTAATTTCCGTAAAATTCCAAAAAAAAATTTGTATAATTTCCAGGAGGTGTGAAACTTTAATTATGTGTACATTTCAGAAAAGAGTTTTCTATTTAATTGTAAACATTTTATTGCTGTATATTTAGAAATTATTTCTAAAAACAAAGACAAATTTTTTTTCTTCATTTTGGAAATCTTGTAAAAAAATGAAATTGTTTGGGGTTTTTTTTTTTTCGTTGCGTGCATTCTTTTTTCTGAGTGTAGACGGACTGTGTGGTAATGTTGGACAATGCCTAGTGCAAGCAACTGCAACATGCGGCACAGCATTTAAAAATGATTTCACATTGCAAATATAAAGCCAGGCACTCGCTACGTCAGCGGCTGCACAAGGAGTGTGTGAGTGCCTGGAACTGTAGCAAAAATCAATTGCATACTTTAAGGGTGCATCTAGCTAGGGTCTCAGTTGAATCAGGCGAATAATAATATGGCATTCTTATGATTCTTTACTCCCAACAGAAACCCTACGCCTGTCAGCTGCCTGGCTGCACCAAACGGTACACGGATCCCTCAAGCCTGCGTAAACATGTCAAAAATCACGGACTTATGCGCCGCAAATCTGCCAGCGGTGGCGCCACATCCACGTCCTGCAACAAAAAGTCGGGCAAGACACGCCGCCATTCCGAATCGACTGCATTATCAACAAGGGGACCGTTGGTTGGTGCACCCCCCGTTGAGCAGCGTACACAGCGCAGCAGCAGTTGCAGCGAGGCAGCGCATTTGATCCAATTGGGTGGTGGCCAGGATAAGGATATGCTAACGAGGGAAGTGGTGGCATCAACTTCGTCAACAACAGACCGCAACTATGTCTGCAGCAATGAGAATGTTGCAACTAATAACAATTCAATAAAATTTAATGAGTTGTCAAATTGCATTGTCATCATTGAGCAAAACCAAAATGAGGCGACACCAACAGCAACTGCAACAACAATTGGCTGTCACGATAATAGATACAACAACACAACAATCGCAGCGACGACTACATATGACGGGCTTAACTACTACAACAACAGTCGAGCTGGCGAAGGTGACAATGTAAATAATATATATTCCGTAACGGAAACGGATACATTGAGCACTTGCAGCAGCAGTGCCAGCAATAGCAACAATTATAAAACCAACAATCAGGACAGCTGCAATCATGATAATATTCATAAATTTAATGATCTGGAACAGCTGCTAAATTCAACAACGGAACAGCACAATTTAAGCACTGATTTTAATACAACGGACAATAAGTGTCAATTGAATGAGTTCGTCTCATTCGAATATGTGCGAAAGTATCTAACGGATGCATTCGAGTCACCCAGCGCGGAGCACAGACCAAAGAGCCCAGCTACAAATTCTCAAATCGTCAATGATTTCGAAAATTATGATATTCAATTTATTTGAGGCATAGATTTATTTATTATAGTTTAACTTTAAGTGAGATTGTTTGCCAAATATTCATATATTTCCACCAAAGATCTCAGCGTTATTTACTCTAAGTACAAATTTGTATTATCATCTGTAAATTGTCATTAGTTTTTGTATATAGTCTATTATTTTTCAATTCTAAGCCTTATTAGCCGATTCTTTATCTGGGTACGTTTGTTGTACACATCAAATTGTAATATAAGAAAATAAGTTATGCAACACAAATAAGACACGATTTAAACGTTCCTCCATTTGATTATCTTCAGTGATTAGAAATATGTCTTCCCAATGAATACTAAGCCTAGCTATGCTTATATTTCAAATATATTTATATATATAGAGATAAATATTAAGCATATTGTTTTTTTAGGATTCAACTTAATTAAGTCGCTAAGATATTATCCCATATAAAATTAAAATTGTATTAATAAAAAGAAAGTGGGTTTTTTACAAATCTTTTTATACATTCTTTCAAAGCAAAAATCTAAATTAAATTATGTATAATCCGGAGTTGGCTCAAATTTATGTTTCCAAAAAGGTAAAAATGCAAAAAAAAAAAATGGTATTTTTAGAATTTATTCTGCTATTTTAAGTTTTTCACTTTGATACTTGAAATTCAATCTTGTCATTTATATTTATATGAAAATGGCAGAAATTTACAAATTCTGTTTGAAAAATGTAAAAATTCTATTAGCTTTCAGCAGCAATAGTATTACACATTACTTGCAGAGCACATTTTTAGCAAAGCTTATGAAAAATTATATCTGAATTTTGTAAATTTTTCTCCTCGCTATATTTGGTTGGCTGTCTGCTGAGGTCTTTTTTTTTTGGATTTTAAGTTAATGAGGCTCAAATGTGCAATTCCATTTAATGTTGTATGCATTTTTTGTGCTTTCCCAACGTGCAGCGTGTTAATGTAAGTAGTTAATGGTTGGACGCGTCAACGAACAAGGCCGGCAAACAATGTTGTTAGCCGGCGAACAATCTGTGAAATGAACACTTTTAATATTAATAACCATTTATGCTTATGACAGACAATGGAAGCCTTGCTCCAAATTTGCGGCTCCCACATTCAAAAACATTCACAGTTGATCTGCTTTCGTTGTACGACAATAACACTAAATATGCTTAGTGAAGCTTTCCAAGAGGATTCTGGAGAGAAGAGCGGAACGATGAGGGGGACTAAAGAGCCACACTATGCATTTAAAAGCGTTGCGAGTGTGTCAGTTAATATGCAGACCGAGACTGGTCTTCATTACTAACCAGAGAGGGAGACACAGAAAGAGAAAGACAGAGACAGAAGGAGCGAGAGCGAGAGAGAAAATATAAACAACAAAATGTAAAGCAATTAAAAGCAGTGCTGCAGAACATGCAGCGCAAAACGAAAATACCCATAAAACATGAGCAGCAGCAGCCCAATTTTGACCTTTCGCTTTTCATACAACTACAAGTACATACACTCACAAAAAAATCGATCTGTATTTTAAAAAATTGACATACTTTTAGCGCCAAGTGTAACTGAGCTTATTATTAAAAAAGTTTATTCCTTTTAACATTTTTTTTTTTTAGTTCCATATACATAAATGTCTAATTTACAGACTGATTTTAATATGTGTACATAGAAAATTAGCTTTATTGTTTTTTTATATTTACTTATAATTTAATTTAAAAAAAAGCTTAAGATTTTACGGGATATACAGCATCTAAAGCAGATAACAGACAATTTGTAATTTGATTACAAATTTCTGAATTTTGTAAAATTACTTTTACAATTTTAACAATACCATTGCATCTGTACTTCTTAGAAATATTTGTTTTTATTATTAGGGAATAGAAAAAGCCTTTCTAATTTTAATATGTATTTTTTTCGTATATTTAAAATTATTTTTAAAAAAAATCAGAGCATTTTTCCTTGTTTTCAGAGCGATTTCTATTTTTGGGGAATTTCTAAATTTAAGGACGATCTTTTTTCTGAGTGTCCCGTAGAACGGGACTGCACGCTGTGGCTACAAGTGGCTGGCGATTAAGCCCCTCCCCGTTTGGGTTTTTGTTTTCAGGTTAAAGCGCAAAAATTGCAGTGGAAATGTGTGGATGCAGTTCAACTATTTATTAATACTCCATGGGGCCAAATATTTACGAACACGCATCCGCAGTCCCATTGCATACAAGCTCTGTGCTTGAGGCCGTCAAGTTTTATGGAAATGCGGACTACGCGTTACTAAATTAATGCCAAATGCCAAAACGAGCTAAAAATTGTTTTTATTAATCAGCAAACGGTCCAAAGCAGGCAACCGCATTTTTGGTATATTTTATCTTTCTTGAACAGTAATTACAGGCTTAACCGATATTCATCTTAAGGCAGTTTTATAAATTTCAAAACGAATGCATTTCTGAGCGTATTAACCAAATTTGATTATAAATTCTGCAGCTTATAAATAGTTTAAAAACTGGACTCTATGTTCACAAGAGAAATATAATATCTAAATATAGAAATATAATTTTCGCTCGAAGTGCATGCTACTCATTATAAATTATATAGATTGACCAATTTTCTGGATTTCAGAATAACCACAGAAACTTTGTAGAAAATTTTTGAATGTACAGGCTATTTGCCAGTCGATTATTCTCAACAAGTGCACTCTCACTTGTTGGTTTGTTTTGCCGTTTTAATTAAAAACGGTCTTACCACGGCGCTGGGCCCGGGCAACCAAGGTTGGCCAACATTTTATCCTTGCAACACGGGTGTTTTCGATATTTATGTGGCGCCTCGCCCTGCACAGTTATTCTGGTTGGCCCACGCCATGACCTCGGTGTCGCAGTATTTGGTTGTATTTGCTGTGCGTTTGTCGTTTGTGACGGCCAATTATGCAAATCGGCAGATTGCCACATCATGATACGTTGAAATTCCATGCATTTACAATTTTCTAATCGATGAAATTTTAATTTATGTCGACACTGTGGATTTTCGAATCCTTCTCGCCCGTAATTGCACTGAATGCTTAAAGTTTTTTGAACATTTGGCGGCTATTCGATTTAGCATAGAAATTTCACAAATTTTATTATTAATGGCGCGAAATCAGTTTACCCGTTGTCGAACAATGCCGTCGCTATGTGCATTTTTGAATAAATCCCGATGATTTAATTAATAAATGTGACCAAATTGAAATATGTCACTCACATTGCGAATGAGTGGGCGTGTTAAAAAGGTCCTTTGTTTATGCTGATAATAAATCAATGTCCCTTGAAATAAGTTTCTGCGTATACGCAACCCTCTCTTTATACAGAATACACATAAATGCAATTTAATTTAATCAGACCGTGTGTGGATGGGAACAGCATTCGAACAACACTTAACTGGCTCAACCGAGCTGTAATTAAGTTTGTACATTGACATCAGACACATATTTTTTTTATATTTTTTTATTTGTCGGCTTTACGCGAAATGGTACATATTTTGTAATTTATAAAATCATCACAAAATGGACACTGTGATTTCGACTTGCGTATCGGTTGAGAACACGTTTTTAATTTTTAATTAAATAAATTATTTTCATTTTCGATTCATTAAATGTTGACAACGTGTGAATTATTTAAAAATATATTTTCATTTATTTTCAATAATTCAACTCTGCAATGCACAATTTAAATGCATTAAATAAGTATGTAAAGGTAAAAATTCTTTATTTTGTTTTTCAGACATACCTATACGTGGTTATATCGTAGAACCAAAAAGTTGTTCCGTGGGCGTAATTAGAAGGCTTACGGCACCGAAAGACTGACGGGAAAGTGTGCTTAAAATGCTCTTTTGTTATTATATTTATGACAACCGCACATGTTCGCTGCTGTCGCACTCGAGAGCAACAACAAAAGCATTTCCAAGACACTCAGGAAAAAAATCTCTCTGATTTCTAGAAAATCTCCTTAAAATGGAAGTCACCTTGAAAAGGTGTCTTAAGACTGTCTTTTATATTTTTCAGAAATTTATTTCTTCAAGAAGAAAAAATATTTCTAAAAATTAGATATGAAAATTAAAACCTATCAGAAATGCAGAAAGTATTAAAAACTTAAAAGCTGTTTAAAATGTCTTATATAAGTGAAATCTTAAAATGCTGATTTTAAATAACAAAATAATCAACAGATTTAAAAAGGAAAATCAGAAAAATGAAATATATTTTTCCAAATTTTAGATCTGGAATTAAAATAAGAAAAACTCTGCTTTTAAGAGACGGCCAAATTCAAGGTGATTTTTTTTATTTTGAGTGTACTGAGCGCTATAACTAAAGCAATGGCAGCGCAGACAACCACACGTTACAAACTTTCTAAGATTGTTGTTGGCTGTGTGGGCTCGTTTGGGCAACAGCTGCGTCATTAAAAGATTCGCAAAATTGTTGCACTGTGCCTGGTCTTGTGTGCTAGCCACAATGTTTTTCGACTTTAACGTAAACTTCAACTTTGCAAGACAACAGTATATCTCATAATCACTTAAAGGCCCTGCAAGAGCGTTGTTGCCAGTTGGATATTCTTTGCTGAGTTTAGGATACTTTCGTCAAGTTGGTCATGGATACTCAGTTCCGGAGACTATGTTTACTAAACAAAAAATTGCAAGTACTTCGAAATTAGTCGGAAAGTTTTAATTGTCTTGAAATAAACATTTACCTTAACAATGACATTTCAAATAAATAATTAACAAAATTTCAAGTAAAAAGATTTTCCAAATTCTAAGTCACTGGTATTTTTTTTATAGTATAGCCAAAGTATATATACTAGCTAGTGATGCTAAAAATATAAGTTCTTCGAAATGGAATAATTATTATGATTTAGAAATGGTTAGTAAACACAAGATTCTGTTTTTTTAATTCTGGTATATTAATTTGCGTGCAGTTTGAAGCGCTTTTGGGCTCATTGTGCTCCAGCAAAAGTAATCAAATTAATTGCAGTCGCAACCGTTACAACACTTGAAAGTGCGGTAACTCAATAGTTCTTTCCAATTGATAATGAAATGCAATTAGGAAGTGTGCCGGATTCATACATACAAACAGTGGCAAACTAGTCGAAGAAGATGAAAATGGGGGGAAAATAACGTTGTGCGAAAATGTAACAATAATAGTCATTTACAGCATTTCCTGTGGCATCCCTGAAGGACTTTGCTCGGTTTCGTTACGCTGAACGTGAGCCACGAGCCTGCATAATAAATCCAAGAGAGTCTGTAATTAAAGTTTGCCGAAGCTGGTCGAATGCAGTGCTGATGACGCCATGGGGAATGATTACGACTATGGGCTATATTGTGCCAGGACGATGAAAGCAGCTGAATCACAAAGCATCAGCAGAAAATCAATCTCCGCATCAGGACGACGACGCCATGCTGTAAAATAGAATTCAATTAACGCGCTTAAATTAAACTGCCACTTCCGGTTTTGATGACGTTTTAATCTGAGCAGGCGCTGCACCAGGCATAACAGAAAATTGTGCGGTCTACTCGCTCGACCAGTCCCAATGAGCAACTGACTAACTGACTAACTGACTGACTGGACTGACCTGACCGGACCGGACTGAGTGAGTGAGTGTTGCTGACAACAAACGACAACGCCATATTGTCGCCTCCTTGACACTTTCACGTTGATGTCATTTACTTAAAGCCAAGCCTTTGCCTTTGCCTTTGCTTTCCTTTTTTTTTTTTAATTTCAACACCATCAGCATTGATGAGTATACGCTGTAATAAATGGGATAGTCATTATCGTGACTGCCACTGGCTGCAAATTAATATGAAATAAAGATTACCAAGCGACGGCCATCAAATCAGCGTTCAAGTCTCCAATAGTCAGTTATCATTAAAGCGTTTTATATGCTACCGTTGAATTTCGATAGAATAGATCTATATATATTTTCAGATTTACTCATTAACCTCTTTATTTTTTGGGTTTTTTGTGTTTTTTTGTGATAGATAGCGGTTCGCGTTTGTGAAGTTCGAGTCTATTTAAAAATGTACTTGAGCTGAGTTTTTGTGCAGCGCAGTTCAAAGAGTGTCCTTCACTGCAGACGAACTTCTTATCATTTGCTTTTGTGCACTTTGTTAGTTGTGAAACAGCGGTCCTTGGCGCACTAGTTTGTGGACTGGGTCCTTGTGTGATGGATGATGGATGGTGCGATAAGGAACTTCAGCAGCGCAACTTGGATTTAATTTAATTAGTATAAACGTATAACTGCCACTCAAGTGGGTAGCGTAAAACTAATAAGCATTCAAAAGCCCATTAAAGTTAGCAGCTCTGATTTCTCAAAGCATCGCGCTTATATACAATTAGTCCAGTAATGAAGATAATGCTGCCGAGCGCAGACATCAGAGAGAGAGAGAGAGAGGCAGAGAGAGACAGCGAGTGTTTGATTTATTTTCTCAAAACTCTAGTAGGCAAAAATATTTATTCAAGTATTATCTTTATTACTCTGCTTCTGGAACTTGATATTAACATTTTGCAGAATATTTAATGTTTATTTCTTGTATTTAAGTTCAAAACAAATCATTTTACATCATTATTTAAGCTTAAGTCAATTTTTTTGGAAATCATTTTTGTTGTTTTTAGTTAACTTTTTTCTTGAAATTTGTTGATTTAATAAGTTTATTGTCTTCTATATATGTACATTGAAAATTTGTCAAGCTATGATTCGAACCCAATCCATTTTTTATTTTTAGAGAATATATTTTGTTTATGTCGTTGATTTAAGCGCAAGCCAAACCATTTTACAACATAATAAAAAAAGAGTTTTAACGTTTTTAAATAAAATCAATTTTGCCTTTAAATAAATGAATTTCTTGAAACATAAATATGTCAATGAAATAAATTAATAGTTCCCTATATTGTGACGAACTAGAATTAGCAGAAAATTCAGGATTTATGGCTAAGGGAAACTACTGACCAGTAAAAGAATTGCTGAAGCTCAGCACCGACTGTTCTAAAGGGATAGCAGTCTTCTACTTGTACTTCTTTCAAGAAAACCCTATTACGGATATTATTTGAAGAGCGACTTCGTTGAAAGTTGATTATAATTTAATTAATATATCCCAGCCATTTGATTAATTGGAGGCTTAATTAGTAATAAGCAACCAATGTGCATTTGGACCACCAACCAAGAGACAAATAGATGCAGTCTGGACATCTTGAATTTATATCAAGTATCCTCAGATTTGAGGTTGTTGGCACTGTTCTCGCCTGGATGCACTTGCACATCCTTTTCATCTTTCTCTTCGATGGACAACTTTCGGGATTCATACGATCCTTTGAGCAACGCTAGAGCATTCAGTTGTTTCTCATGTTCAAGCGAATCTGATCGCGTCTGAAACAGTTTGTTAAGAAGTTTATTTGGTGGTAACAGATATTTGCGTTGCTTCAAAGTTTTTGGACAGCTGGCCATCAGACAGGAGTCATAGGTTTGAACTTTTACTAGAGCCATATCACCGAATAGCTTCTGACGCAATTTGACTGTCGATCGGCAATGCTTGAAAGCCAATACAATAATCGAATATATATCTTCGGCGACGGAGGATCGAATGGGTGTGAAGAAGCCGCGACAAATTGGACAACTCTCAGTTCGGATGCGACAATCGAGACAGAGCAAATGTCCATTCTGACACTGCAGAACTGGCGGTGTAATCGTCACATTGCATACAGGACACTCGATAACCTTCAGGATACTGTCCACAATAATGACCAGGCGCTTCAAAGTAATCGGCATGGGTACACAGCAGATACTCTGGAAAATATTCGAAATTAAACGATGTATTTGAATGAATCTAAGAAAATCTCTTACGTTTTCATCACAGTCGAATTTACATTCACTATTCCAACACAGAAAAGTTACTTCATCTCTTTGGCTTTTAACTATTTGGGCTATTTCGACAATCTGCAGACCAATTATATCTATGCCGTTAACCTGAAAACAACAACAAAAATTGAGTAATATTTATATATAAATTTGGATCAACTGGAAATCTTCCCGCTTCCTCCAATGTAGACTCGTTTATATAAAATCTTTACTTTTACATATTCAGATGGACTAACTGACAGGTCTATATCAGAAATATATATGTTGAGGGTATTGAAAACAATAACTTTAATGCGTGAGCATACATTATTCAATTTATATTCTCCCCTCTTATTCGACATAAGTTTTACAATTACATATTTTATTGAAAAGTCGTTTTATATTGAAAAGTCGTTTTCAATGTTCAATAAATATTATCATAAATCATCAGCTCCGTTAAACTGCTTGATGGGTATTTTGCGTCAAGCAGTGCACTGCTTACCAACTGTTACGGGTGTAATTCTGTTAGCGAAAGCTGTTAGCTTAACCCGAATCTTGCATTGACTTTAGTGTGCTCACTTTGCATATTTACTTATAAATGTAAAATATTCTCCTCATCGCAGATCTGTCATATGTAATAGAAATATTTTATTTCAGGCAAATGTTAATGGCTACTGCATTATAATATTAAACAATATAATACCTAATAAAAGAGCGTTAATGATCATTTTCTACATGACTTAAGATGCTGTCTTTTGTCCGCTACACATTCCATCCAATTAAGATGAGTGAACTGATAAGATAATTATTGTCAACACAATGATAAATGTCTCTGGTCTTTCCACAGTTGATTTTTTTCTTAAAATGTTTGTTCAAAAACCAACTGACCTTGAGAATGCAGTCACCGGCCTTAAGGCCACAAAGCGAGGCAGGTGTGCCTACGGCCACTTCACAAACCTGCATCAAACAAATGAAATGTGTTTGTTGAACAAAACAAAAATTGTTGGATAGAGAGTTGGAGTGACATCATACCCACGGATATGGATCCCATTTGCTGCGCGTCAAGCGAAATCCATACTCCTCAATTTTGGGGGCAGCGCGTGGTATTTTCAAAAGACGCACAGATGACTTCTGATATTTTGGATATTTTGGGACCCCTTCTTCATCCAGACTGGGATCAAGTGCAATTTGATGCGATTGCATTGTACACGTGTATGGAGCTCAACTCTGTCCGAATGTTGTATTAGATATTTTGTTGGTGTTTATTTATTGTTATGTTTAAGAAACTTGCGCTGCGGAGTATTAAAAGACGTGTTCAACGCGCGCTCCCCACAAACAAACTGCCATTGAAATTTGTACTCTAAGCAAGCGATTCGTAGTCGGAATCCAGAGTTGGTCGCCAGTTTCTCTCTGTTAGCCAAGTTAACTGACGCTCACAGCATCGGCATCACGGCAGACTTGCTCACTCGCCATGCTGTTTATTTTGGAGATTTTTATTTCAAAAGCTATTGCCACCAAAATTGAGCATTTTAGACTAAGAGAGCGAATTAGTTGCATGACTAAGAGCATAAGCAAACCATTTGATATTTTCATGGGGTTTGGAATAATAAATATGATTCAAAATATTTGCACAATTGGACTGTACACCATGTTGAGTGTTTTCATCAATACGGCAGTAGGCAAGTGTTAAAAATGAACTTTATCAATTAGTATGTTGACACATGATATATTAATGGACTTTCACATTCAAATTGCGCACTTCGTTATTGTAAAAAGGCTTGCCCTCAATCGATAATCTCACAAATACATATAACCTACACACTCATTTGAAAAACCTATATTTTAAAAGTACAAAAAATGTCGTTAAAGGAAACTTTTCTCTGTTAAAAAGCTAATTTTATTGTCACATAAATTTACGTTTCGAAATCAATGTACTTATTTGCCCAGCTACCTTTTTATTGCCGGCTCCCAACAAATACATTTATAGAATAACAAAAAAGATTATTTGGTAAGTATTTGCACTATTAGAAGCAATTCAAATCGTAAATAACGAAAACACATTGACTTTTGATTCGATACGCAGTTAAATTGGTTTCGATTCATTGGGAAACGGGCACGAGCCGATTAGGCCAACCAAGCATTTAAATCGACTATTATTGTAGAACTCATTTGGCAACAAGGTAGCTTCTAAATGGGTCCGGTTCAGCTAAATTTAGTTTTGATTTAGGCTTTTAATTTCGTTCAATTGTGCTTTGTTCCATTTAATCGAGGAAATTTAAAGCTAAACATTTGGCTTTATGGCTGCTGATTGCTCTTCGCCTTGGGTGTTGTACCAACAGCAGCTATATTTATCGTTGGGGTGCTGTCAAATTTAACAAGAGAACAGCTACTTATGAAGCTCATAACATCAAATTTCATGTTTTCAATTAGTGTATCAAAATGGTTTGAGTTGAATGGAGTTCAAAACGCTTGCTTCATGGCTCAACAAAACAACAACAATGAATTTTTATTAATTCCATCGATACCCGAATACTTGACCAGAAGGCAAACAACTACTTAATTGCAAGTGAAGTCGCCTAGGGAAACTTCAAATTATCGAAAGTACACTCGAAAAAAAAATAATTACCACAATGGCCAAGAAACGCAGCATATTTTTCAATATGTGAGTTTATAATAAAATATAAAATTTGTTCTATTAATCCAGAAATGAATATACAAAAAATAAAAATTACAACTTTGAGAATTGAGAAATGATTTCTTCCGAGTGTACCTAATATTCTGCCTTTTTTAATGTGCTATAAAACGATTGAAAAAGCAAAATTGATCAATCAAACAAAGAAACATACGAATATAAATGCAAATAATAATAATAATACACACAAAGTGCTTAGAAATTGTGTGGCTTAAAAGCTCAACTCAATAAGTGTTCCCAAAGCTTGCAGCAGATGGCGCTTTGAAGTTGAGGTCAGCGTGGCTTTGGTAGTAATTTGTTGGATCTTTGATGCCGCAGTTTGCTTTGAGCTCTTTGAGTTTGCGCAGGTGTCGCTCGCAAGTTCCGTGATCGCGAAGTGGAAGTGCGGTGCCGGCGTTTTAATTTAACGGGCGCCGTGAATCAAGTCCATACTAATTATAACTAGTACATAAATATGTAAGTTGAAGTCAGTTGCTTTGGGGGTGCTGTGTATGGCCAAAGGGCCATTGACAGCTCATGCATATTTAGCATTTCATATCTATCATTTTATTTGACTCTATCTTCAATGCTATGCGAGCAATTTAAATTTGTGTTTAATTTGTAATGGCTCAAACGACCTTAACGACGGCAAGGGCTAAACACAAAAGGTTTTGTACACAGCGAGAAAAACGTTGGCCAACCAAACAAAGCTCGACTGAAATTACGATTATAGCAAAAAATAACAATTTAAAACAATAAACACGACAAATCTAAGACCCAGCTTAAGAATTAAAAAATCTATGTATATATAGTATAAAATAACTTGATATGATTAATCGCGAGCATGTCCAATCTACTAATGCTGTACAAGTAAAGAAACTTAATCGCATCGTAAGAAGCAAGACTTTGTAGTTTTTCAAAACAAGGAAGTTGTTCGAAATAAAAAAAAAATAGAAGATAAATGTAATCTGTCATCAAAAATAATTAAAAAACATATACAAACATTTATCTGAGAGCTTTCGAAGTGTGCTTAATCGCTGCCCTGAGCCTAATTGCAAAATTGCAAAATGCGTAGGAACAACTAAGTGTTGCAAATTTACAAAATTGTTAAATCAAAGCAATGACAATATATATATATATATATATATATATATATATATACCATGCAAGAGCATTAAAAGACGTATTAGAGAAAAAACTAAAGCCTGAAAGCAGCTTGATCAATGCTTAAATCGATAACAATAATTTTTAATAATAAAAAACACAAATATTTTTATTTATTTACTCACTTGATGAAGCTGGTAGGTTTATATGTTTATTTTAATAAATATGTGTATGCACATATTTATGTAAATTTATTGTAAATATATACAGAAATGTGTGTATTTGTTTATTGTTTATTTGTGTAATTGCTGTTGAAGTAGATGGCGATTGCGGTGGCAACTTTTTGGCTGTTTTTTTGGGTTTGGGGTTTCTGGGTCTCTGTCGTACATTTCGTTATTTTGTTGTTGTTGAGTTTCGATTGTTGTTGTTATTTTCGTTTGCTGTTGCATTTGTGTAATTGTGACGCAATTCTCGTGTGTGAGGTTGTTTTTGTCTCGCCTTGTTGGCTATTGGCTGAAAACGAAAGCGGTAAAAAAAACCAGTGTTAATTGTACATTTGTACACACAAACACACAAACACACATACACATAGACTAATGTACTTATGTATGCACTTGTGTACAAATATGTTGTTGTTGTTGTTGCTGTCGATAGTGTTGTTGTTGTTGTTGCTGTGTTATGCATTGCAAAAGCGCACAGCTGTTGAAGCGCTTGTTGACTATCGGCTGCTTTAGTGATTATCCGCACGCGTCTTTGATTAGTACGTTTAACGAAGCTGCTGCTTCCTCAAGCCAAGAATAGTCGTGAAATATCTGTATATATATCTGTATATATAAAATAAAACGGTGAATGTTGCATTATTTAATAATCAAATTCATAATTGGAGCAGAACGAAGTGGTAGTCAACTGCCATTTACTTCTTAACTTCTTTATTGCTGTTAATTGAAACTTTTAAATAATTCTTTTGTGGTTTTTTCTTGGCCTTAAAAAACAAATGTAATCATGGCAACAAACGAAATATTGTTGTAAAATAATTAGTGATTTTTAATTTAGACGAAGGTGTTTTACCAATTACTTGTTACGTTCTTTATTGTTCTTAACTTGGACTCGCAACTCTTGTGTGGTTTTTCTTTTCATTAAAAATAATTTGCAATCATTAGCAAAAAAAAATAAAAATAAATAAATATTGTTATACAACAATCACCGATTTATCATATAGGCGAATGTGATTAGCCATTTACTTGCTGTGGTCCTCTTAATTGTTCCTAATTGAATAACTTGCGCTCGCAATTCTTGTGTGATTTTTCTAGGCATTAAAAATAATCAACGAAAAGCGAAAGAGTGTTGTAAAAATATTAATGATTTACCATATAGACGGATGTGATTAGCCATGGCTTTAATTTGCTTCATTTTCGATTGGTTACAATACAATTTTTGCCATTCGCTTTGCCTTTCGACTCCGGATACTTAACGTTTTCGACGTCACACAACGAATTTCATGGCCAATGCCAGCCAAGTCAGAAGTGAAGTGGGCACTCGTTTCACTGTAATCAAGTTCACTGTATCCGCCTGTATGTGTGTATGTGTGTATATATATATATATATATATAAGTATAGTAGATAGTTTGTCTCTCCATCAATTATAAGTTGCAAATCTGCGACCCTCTAAACGGATGCGAGCTCCCCACTCGAATTCCAAATGATTCCGCTTGCAAAATATGTAATTATTATTAATTATACCCTTTAATTATTACAAATTCGCCAAAAAAAAGGGCATGGTGAACTTTTGTAAATGCTATTAGCATATTTTGCGGCCCATAAATTAATAATTCTTAGTTTTTTGAAAATAAGTATCTCATTCATTTTCAATACTCTTTTTTCAATTTCAATTGTTAAAACTCAAAAGAATTTTTTTGTCTACATTTGTTGAGACTTTAATGCACATTGCTTTTAAGGAGACTCTATTTTCAATTTCTTTCCAACAGCACTGCTATTATTTTTGAACGCATCTGTACATTTGCCAAGCAGAAGTATTTAATATAAAATTTAGCTTATTTCATCTGCGATTTTAAGGCAATTCACAAACTGAACAAAGGGTATCTTGAAGTTGAGCACCCACGACAAGCGTTCCACTAATTGTTTTCTGATTAGATGGGTGAAAAAAAAATGACTGCTGGGAATTCATAAAGAGAGGTGACCAAATACGAATCCAAATTAATGACAACGAATATGTGAAAGTGCTCAAATACAACAAAATAGTGTCGCTCTATGCTGCCATGGCAATTGACGACAAAACATTCGCGGATATTGCTCACAGACTAACAGACTCACAGCCTCACGGCCTCAGTGCGTATACTTGATGTACTTGAACTTGCGCTCAACGCACAACTCATTCATGAAATTAGACGGCGTTTTATGTGAATCTCATACAGTTCCGGCTGGGGCGAACTTCTACCGTTATACATATATACACACTTATATATATATATATATATATATATATATAGAACTGTGATCTTAATTGATTTAATTCGTTGTGCGGTCTTTGCTATTGAAGTGAATGCAATGCCAAAAGTTTTTGCCACCACTTTTGATGTATGTGCGCACATTTAACGCTATTTTGGTTGTGAACGCGTTGGTGAACGCGACGTATGCTTAATTACAACCAGTTGGCAAAAGTTTTCTTGGGTGGGCCCATTTTGGCAGGTTCTGCAACTTTCAACAGCCTGCTAATTAATTTTGTTTCGACGCCATTTGCCAAAAGGTAAAAGAATCGCTGCCGAAAGGTGCGAACATTATAAGTGCCAATATCAAAGTCCAGTGCCCTCGCCAAAAATAACCGACCCGTCAACTGAGCTCTTTTCGTAAGCGTAAGCGATGCGTACGTGCGAGGCATGCAGAAGCGTGGGACTTGACAGGGGTGTTGGGTGTCGATGACACGCCCACTTAGCTATAAGTAGTACATTGCCACCCATTTTCAACAACTCGTAAGTTTGACGAGTCGACTGTGAACGACTAGCAGTCATCCTTCCAGTTGACACTCAGAAAAAGAAAATTCCACTGAACCGTAGAAATATCAACATACATTTAACTACAAGCTTAGCTCTTCTTATTATTCAGACAATATATTTAAATAATTATTTTTTGAATTCTAATTGCATTTCTACTTTTTAGAAAGGCGTTTTTTTTTTATTGAGAAATATATTTCTAAAAAATAGTAAACAGTTTTTCTTATGAAACTGGTTTTCACCAAGAATTTTTGTAGTTTCCATGTCGATTTTAATTTTACCGCGATATTTGAAAATTGAGTCCGTTATTTGTTTCGATTTCATTTACAAAAACACAATCCTCTCAATTTATAATATAAAATTGATGCCCAAATAACTTCTACGCTTATGGTCCAATGATCATAAATATTTTTGATCACTCAGTTGTCTGTTTATATTTTTTGTTTTAATTTCTTTGCATTTTGTTTAGAGAGAGTTTCTAAATTTAGAGTCTGTCTAATTAATGAGTGCAGGCTTCTGTTACACACTGTTGTTCATGATACCCTATTTAAGCCAATTGTAATGGTTACAGGGTATGCCAATAATATGCATGTGTGTGAATATCTGTTAATAATAATTACGTATGCATGTGGGTCTCTGTGTGTGTGCGTGCGTATGTGTGTGTGTGTGTGTGTGTGTGTGTGTGTGTGTGTGTGTGTCTGTGCACGTCTGGGGCACATCTCAAGTGTTGAAAGTGGCCCAAAATTTATGTTATCCAGCGTCGTCTTTAACGGTGGGTGTGCCTGTGTGTGTGTGTGTGTGTGTGTGTGTGTGTGTGTGTGTGTGTGTGTATTTGTGCGTAGGCTTTTGTCTGACATATAAATAACATGAAATGCCTGAAACGTGCGCCCTTGAAGACTTCAACACAATGTGGAGTCGAGTAACAGCGAATTATTCAATTGAAATCAAAATCAAAATCGTCAAATTCAACTTTCTCGCTTCTGTGTTGCAGCTGAACAACAAAAGAAAAACAAAAATAAGTACAAAAATGCTGCAGCAATGCACCATAAAGGCGCCCAATGGCGCCTTAGGCTTAAATTTGAGTCGTGCACCTTGGGACCCGTATCCGTGGGTCAGCGGTGTGCAGGCGGAGTCGAATGCGCAGTTGGGCGGCGTTTGCATTGGTGACACACTGCTGCAGCTCAACGGCCGAGATGTCCTCGGCATGAGAATCAGCGAGCTGGCCACGCGACTACGCGAACATTGGCTCTCTGGCGCTGACCAGGTCACCCTGATGATGTGGCGACAGGAGCCCAGCCCCGGCTTAACTGCCGCCACAGATGATCCCATGGAGGCGGCGCACGCTGTGGTAAGTAACTTAGATTATGCGGCACCAAGAATTATAATTGAATACCATAATGCAGTTGGTGAAACATAAATTATATGAGAGATTAAATATTTTCCAACTACATTTTTTATACTCTGCTATCAAAGGTCAAACTTTATGCAGCCTCCCAAACCGATAAACCTGATTGTGTAAATCGATAAAACCACATATTTTTTGGGAGCAAGAGTCACCAAATTTGAAAGATATATGACAGCTAATTCCTAGAAGCCACCTGCAAAGAGTGGTATGATCATCTTTTAGATGTATCCACTACAGCACAAAGAAACCTATGTATCCCTGCAATTAGCCAGTTAAAGTTACCAAACTTTGTAGGTAGAATTCTAGGAACCTCCTCAGAAGATTGAAGTCAGACTTATGCTTATAATCTCTGCAATTTTAGAGTTATAAAAATCAACTTCAAAGGGCACATTGACGATTACTCAGTGGTCCCACCACAAAATGGTTATTTGCCACCTGTTGTCAGAGTATTCCGCAGCCGGTTACTCCCAACTCAGCACGTATTTATTAAAAAATATTGCAAAAGCCACTTTTTTGTTTTGGTTACTTTTGACCAAAATAACTTGGTATATTAAAAAGATTTGCTTTAACAAATTCTTTTTTTTCGAGAGGTTGGCTTTTTTTATATTTATATATATATACAATATTTTTAAAAACGTTGCAGAGATCAAGTAATATATATATATATATATATATATATATATATACATATATATATATAGCAAGTTGTGCTGCAAACACTTCACCCACTGAAACAGTGGCTCGTTAGTGAGTTTCAGCGTTGCTTAATTGGGTCATTTTAACGCACGATATGTTTACGCTTGCCGTTGGTTGTGTATTGTTGCAAGTTGCGCGTTGCCCGTTGCCCGTTGCCTCCTGCCACATGCATGTTGCAAGTTGCTCGATGCGCATTGTTGATTCGTCAACTTGACAATTACCTGAACTTCTGCAACTGGGTCAACTTTAACAAATATTTAATTTTGCAAACAATGCAGACAGAAACAAATCAACTTCTGTTAAACAAAAGTGTTTCAATATTAGTAAGTTATTAGCCTAAATGTTGCAAGCTGTCATGAATATTCAATTTAATTGCATTTCGAATAATAATACAATGTCATAATCTTATGCAATATCACTCAATCATTTAAGCACTCAGTTCGACTCTGCCTCAAGCACTTATTATTCATAATACTCAGCTGTCAATTAGCTTGTTAGGCACACCGACACCCATTAGCCAACTAATCTATCCATCCTTCTTGAATGTTTGGCTCTGATTTTTGGCCAATGCTGCAATATAATCTATGACTGCATCCTTGCCGAGGTGTCATATTACACAGCATTTTATTACATTTGACACATCATATGTGTGTGCAGTACATCACTACAAATTCAATTGACCCAAATATTTGGCAACGATGTAAACATCAAAAATGGATGACACACCGGATTACTTGCCTCCCAATGACTAACTGCCTCCACGCTGCAGCACAACATATTCAAATAAATTGCAATCAATACTGATGGATATGCTTATGGTTTAGTGTCAGTTTGTGGGACTTAGCGATTATTTGTTCAAGCACATAATACACATATATGAATGTGTCTAAATTGGCATTTGTGCCAGCATTTTATAGACACACACACACATACATGTTGATCTATATGCAATCAGTAATAGTTTGAGTGTTTTTCCCAATAACGCACTCTGGACCTGTTAATGAAATCAACGTTTTTATTTTGGGGTCATCATTTGGCAGCATAAACTAATCAATCATTTCACACGTTTTGTGGCCCATATGCAAATTTCATTTAGATATTCGAAAATCAAACCTTTTTGCATACATTTTTGTAGTCCGATTTTTTTTATAAACACATTTTATTTCAGCGATACAAAATCGCACAAAAATTTCCAATTCAGTGAAAGCCAAAATTCGAATTAATTTTATGAACATCATTTTTAGATTTGCGTTATAAATCAGAAAAAAAATCAGAAAAAACGCATTGAAAACCAGAAAACCATTTTATTATATTTTCTAGAAATGTATTTTTTATTAATAGAAAATATTCAGAGGAAATGCTAGCCATTATTTTAACAAAAAATTCCGTTTCAATTATTGAAAGTCAAGTTTAACTATTATATTTAAATAATTATCATTAAATCACACTAAAAAAGGAAACTAAAATTTTTTAAAAGTTAAATTACTGAATTTTGTACTCTTAAAAGAAAAAACATGTTTTTAATTAACATAATGCAAAATGCAAGAGTTTAAATTAAATGAGATTTCGTTTTTATTTTCAACTATATTTGCAGCAGCATGGAATTAATCAACAGTCACTGCAAAAGTTTGCAACATGCCTGCAACATATTGCCCAACTACTGGAGTGTCCTGTTTGTTGTGAGGTAAGCATATATATACGTATTCAAACATATATATGTATTGATTTTGCTTTATTTTGTTTAATTTATGTATGCCTTGAGGTAAGTGGACGCTGCTGCAGCCTCGACAGCGTCGTCTTCTCTTCTAGCCAAGCAGATGTGTGTTGCATATCGATGAGGTCGCTTGTCGCTTGACTGTTGACTGTTTTGGCTTGCAACGTGGGTTGTTAGTTACCAGTAGCTGGCTTTTAGTTTTAGTTCGTCATTATCTAACTCAGCACAACTAAAACTCAACTGTGATGGCAAAACTTAGTTGGCAGTTGCCGCTTGTTTGCCTTTGTGAGCCGCCTGCACCATCAACGTCATATGCCTGCCATACCGGGCAGATCCCCTCGTCACTGTTGCTCTTCCGGCTTTGCGTTGATTTTGCTGAGCAAGTTTGTTGCTAATCACTTGACCGTGTATAAAGTTGAAACGTCGAGCTGTTGTACCTCTGATTGCGTGTGCCCCACCCATAACCCATCCACACGCTCCGCCTCCGCCCCCGCACCCGACCTTAGACTACTGCTGCTGCTGCTGCTGCTGCTGCTGCTGTGGTTTTGTTTACACAATTACTCACAGCCTGACGCTGTCATGACTACAAATAACTGCCGATTTTGTTAGTTAATACCCGTTAGTTGTGCTGTGCACCCGGACAAATATAACTTATGCTTGTAAAAATGTATGCACACATATATATCTATGTAGGCAATTTAATTTTTATATCCGGCACCCATTGAAAAATACGTAGAAAGCATTTATGTACATTGGAAGGCATCCTCATCGACCATACATGCATATCTTAAGGATCGATAACTTACTTTAGTTACAAATATCGATCAATATTATATTTCATATATTTAATTTTTCTTCGAGCATATTTCTCAAGAAGATAAAATTTAACTTATAATTTTTGAATAATTGTCAATAATTCAATCAGATCAATATAAATCGATAAATATCGATCTTCCAGCTAAAGAGACAACATTTAACATCGATATTTTCAACAGCAACAGGATATCTTTCGGTCAGGCACACACTATCGCAACACACTCAATTTTTAACATTTTATTTTAATGTGTACATATCCAAAATTCATATATGTATATACATTTATATATATATATATATATTTATATATTCCGTATGCTTGATAAATGTTTGCCATTGCATGTGATTTGATTAGCTTTGTCCTGGTGACTGGCGGCACTTTGGTGAAATATATCGAGCATGCTGGGCATGATTGATTACAGAATTTGAAAGTCAAATATTGTCGATTAGGCATCATGACAGGCAATGTGGAATGTGGAATATGGAATGTGGCATGGGGCACGTGGGGCATGGCCAGGTCATTCAATCACTTGCTTGTTGCGGACGCTGCTCCCCATTAACGCTCTGCAAACACAAAAGTCGCCCAGCTGTTCAATTTAAATTGTTCAAGCTGCGGCCAGTTGTAAAATGCCAAAAGTGGTTGGCTGAACTAAGCTGAGCTGTAAATTTATTTATTTATGGCAAGCTTGTCAGCAAACACATAACTTTAATTAATTAGACAGCAACAAAATGAACAAGTTTTTTTCCCTTTTTTTTGCCTTCCACTTAAATTGTTAAGTTATCGTCCGATGGAATGTAATATGTAAGAATTTGATGCCGGCCTCACCATAAATAAAGCATCCTGGGGCAAAGGACGCGAGGCGTGGTAGCAAACTTGTGCAGACGGACGCACACTCAAAGCTGCAATTGTCGCTCGAACAAAGCTGCTGAGGGACGCACAATTATGTACACTCTGAAAAACAAACTGAGTAAATTTAAGAAACTAAATAAATGGAAATGCATTTGTATACCCTTCATATATATAAGATATATATACTCTTGATCAGCAGTAATAGACTTTCATACAGCTGCCTTAGGAACAATCGTTCGAAAGATGGGCTGAGAAGGTTACAAACCTTTGTAGAGCGTACTTAATTTGATGACATCTAAATATTTTTTCGTAGCTTAATATTTGTGGAATAATATGATTGTTTAATATTTTTATAGAACGTTTTGTGGCATCCACAGATTTTGAAAAGCAATAACTATTGCTATTCAAGCTAGATTGTTCCTTTGCAAAAAAAAAGTAAGGTGCTGAATTTAGTTTTAAATAATTGAAAAGACAATAACAAAAATTATTTGGGGTTCAGATAAGAAGAAATTTTAATGAAGTAAGATTAGTTTAAGATTTTAGGTTCTTTAATATAATATTTTTTAAACATGTATATTTTGTGCTTGTATCGAAAAAATGCTTGAAATTATTTATGCTACTTAATTAGTCTCTTTTGCCAAGTTAAAGCAAAACTAGAATGAACATTGTACTCGACATTTGACACACGAATGCTATGAATTTTAAATCGTTTGCACTTGATGCTCGAACAAGGTTTTTCTCTCAGTGTCTAAGTGAATAAGTGTAACTCGCTGGCTCCATTGGAGCAGCAGCTGTCAACTAAGCTGAAGGCATTGCCTGGAAGGACAGCTGGCTCCTGTTTTTGCAGCACTGCATACATAATTTGTTTATTAACCTTAAATCAGATTATGCAGAAATGGGTGACAGGGAAAGAGAGTGCGACAAAGACAGAAATAGAACGAGAGCGAGAGAGAAGGATGAAGTTTGTATTCAATTCGGAATGTGTCTTGCTTTGCCAGACAAAACTTCAATATCATATTTTGGCAATGATTATTAAGGCACGAAAATTGCATAATATTAAGAGTATATAAATGGAGATTATATACACACATAGACACAAACACACACACATATACACATACATACACATATGTATAAGTTGAGGTATGTATGTGTTTATTGGTTATGCTATTTGCGTATGCAAACAGACAAGTCCATTAAGTTATTAAGGGATTTTCCTACCCCAAGAAAACATTTTCCTACATTCGCTCATTTGTGTGTGTAAGTATGTGTGTGTGTGTGTAAGTATGTGTGTGTGTGTGTACATATGTACATATGTCTGCTGGATCAAATGTTAAATTCAATCCAATAAATATTCTCGCGGAGATAAACTGTGGCTGCTCTTTTGCCAATCTCCTATTGACTTTGAATACCAAACAATTCCAGACTGAATTCAATTAAAAATGCATAAATTTGCATTTTTTTTATGCTTGACAAAGACAAACTTATCAAATTATCAACAGAATTTGCTTAAAATGTTCGAAAAGCTATTTATTTTGTATACACTTTTAAACACTCAAATTGATTTTAATATTTTTACTACGAGTTGTTAAATTACAGTTGATAGTTGTTAAAGCATCTTTGATTTAATTTTGGGATTTGTATTCAAAGATGCAGTATCTATATGTATTTTGAGTTTGTCGATTTTGTGCGATTATAATGCGGGCTGGACACACAAAAACAGAAGAAACAAAAGAGAAAAAAAAAAACAAAAAATGATTGCTGGCAAATTGCTTTACATTTGTAATACTTCAGTTTCATATTTGTAAAAAATGATGGGAAAAACAATCCAAGCTGCTGCACAAAATTGTATCTTTATTGCTGCATATTTATAGCTGCCCATGTGCACAACGTTATGAAACCTCGTATGTAGATACATGCATTCATACATACATGCATACATACATGCATACATACATTCATACATACATTCATACATACATAAATATCCATTCAGGCAAAATGCATCAATTGAATTTCTGTATAGATTTGTATTTGTTTTATTTTTTGAGATAATCCTCATGATTTCTATGAGTGTATGAGTATGTGTATGTGTGTGTGTGTGTGTGTGTGTGTGTGTGTGTGTGGTTGAGATTGCACGTTTTTGTAGGTTCAAACTGGTAGCTTGAAAAGCGCACAACTGTTTTTGTGCCCGCATCAAATACGGTTGTATTATTTGAAATCCGCTTGTGATATATTTTCAATTGTATATTCAATTTATATGGCAACTTCATGTCCCTTTCACGTAAGAGTATTCGGCTTTGATGTGTTTTTCATAACAAATCATACAAATCGAGATTGCAAAAAAACTATCAAATAATAAAAGATTGTCAAGTGCTTTGGTCATTTTAAGATTATACAAAATAGGTAAGGTTTTAGCAAAAATGGTATTACGACTGTTAATTGTGCTGCAATCGAGTTGGTTAGATTATTTACGCATACAAATACATTTGCAAAACAATAATAATTCATCATTTTCATAACTCATGAATTGAGTTGTTGAAATTTTTTTACAATTATTTTCTGAATTTCCGAATTGATTTTATTTGTAGACAATGGTTTGCATTTCCACTTTCTAGGAACATTACATGTTAATCAGACACTCTCCGTAAGTGTCATATATCTGATTTTATGTACAACATTTTAAGTACATGCATTTTTTATATTTGTTTTTAATTACAATAAATTTTCTGTTTTTTTTTTTTTGCTTATTTTCATATCTTAATCAATTTTTGTATGGCATTTTGCTGATGTTGATGTTGTGTCGCCTTTGGCAAAATGGACTGCAATGGTGCAATGTGAATATCAGGTTATTAAACCACCCAGCTGGCAGTGCTGCAATGGACACGTACTTTGCAATAATTGCCGTAACCGGTCTGTAAAGTGTCCCGTTTGCCGAGTGCCGCTGGGACCACGGGGACGCTGCCTGCTGTCGGATAACTTATTCACGCTGCTGGCCGAGAATTTCCCCTGTGATGGTGGTAAGTAGTTGTAGCACCGACTGCCACCCATTCTTCTTAATGGTCAAAACTGGCAATAGGCAAGCGTGGCAAATGTTGTTGTTGCTGGCACAATCTATTAATATGTCTTCAGTGCGTCAGTTGTTGGACAAACTTTTGGGATATCTGCCTTGTAATCTGCCTAAAATGGTGCTTAGATTAGCGTTGTCATTAGTACAGTGTCCCCAGCCTGGGACCCTCCTCCTAAAGTCTCACGCCAATGAAAATGTCTTTCAATTTTGAGCAAAGTTTTAACTTTAGGAACCCAATGCTTAACATTAAGTGTGTATAAAAATAAGTATAATTTCGAGGGGGAACGCTATTTGTCAAGGGCTTTGTTCAAAAGTTTTACCTTAGCAGCAACAGCAGTTCAAAATAAAATTAAATAGGTATCAATGTTTTGCTTAAGTTTGAGAAGTCTTAGTTATATTGCAATTGGCAAAGTAATTTGGTATAGAAACCGAGCTTAAAGAATACTCGCTTTTTATGTCTTATTTATTGCCTGTCCCAAATCAATTTCTCTCAATCGAATCAATTTATTCAAAATAATAGAATTTTCAATTTAAGAGGTTTTAAATTATTTGTTTTAATGATTAAAATAGAGTAAATCTACGAAACAGATAAGCCATAAATGCTAAAAATATTTCAAATTCGTTTTTAATTTATTAATTTGCTTCACTAATACGAAAAAGGCGAGTCATAAATATTAAAATTTGCATTTTTGTGGCTATCGGTCTTTCATTTAAGGGGTTTCGTTTTAATTTGCTTAAAAACGAGAAATGCCTATTTTAGGAGTATCACTTAATTGGTTAAATAAACATAAATATTTCCTATCGCCTGTTGCCACTTGAGTTAATACTTACTTTTCATTGTTGATGATTTTTTTATTGTTGTGGAATTTGTTTTTTTTTTTTCTACAATAATTACGTTGCACAAATTGCATAAGTTTTGCTCTTCTTTCGTTGCCAAGGTGCTTATTGTAGAGTCTAGACTCTAGGCATTATCTTTCAGACTGAGTTGTTGTTGCTTTGAATTGAACAAGTTTGTGTAGAATAAAAATAGGTGAACTATTACAATTGTTGTGCATGTCAGTTGCTGGTTATGAGCGTACTTAGCCATAGAAAAGTTTTGTTATTTATGCAGGGTATATTAGTTGACATGGTTTCCTTTAGCCAAGCGCTGCCGAGTGGAGCACAAGTTGTTAAGTTTATCTGTCAAAGAACTTTGCCGTATCTCTATCATTATTTTTTTCTCTTTCAATCTGAGCATTTCCATAAGGGTCTAGAGTAGGTGGTGTTGGCGACTGTTGCAGATAATGTAAAGTTTACAACGTAGGTAACAAGCGGCAACAACAACAACAATTGCAACAATTGCAACATAATCAAATAGAAGAAACATTCTTGTTGCCTGTTTTACTTGTTGAACTTTCTTGGTATTTTTGCCATGTCCATGTCGTTCAGCACTTAGTGCCTATTATTGCTTGTAAATTAAGAGAGGATTCCTTATACACAATTTCTCTATCATCAACAACTGTTTGCCTCACTGTGTTTCTTTATATGTGTACTTGTTTTTGTTTTGTCGCATTCGCCAGTGCTTGCCGGCTAAAGACTAGAGAGACAGAGAGCTGAAAGGGACAATTTCAATTGCAACGAAACTTTTGTGTTTATAAACCTGGCCAACAGCAGCAACAGACAAAACTAAGCAAGTGCGTAGCTCGATTCCAAATTGTTTGTTGCTTTTTTTGTGCTCGAGTTATACATTGAAATAAGTATTCCATTGCTGTGTTCTTTCCATTTCTAGTGAAGACCAGCAAAACTACCGATGTGGCCAACAACAGCAACAGCAACAGCAACAACAACAGAAGCGGCGACAAATGCACAAATGAATATCATAATCAACCAAAAATGGCACTGGCCAAATCAAATACCAGCAAAAAGTCAAGAAAAACAGCTAGACAGATGCAATCCGCAGTGATTTCAGTTATGAATGATGCTGCTGATGTGGAAGGAGTTGCAGCCGGAGCTGGAGCAGAAGCAGAGACAGGACTAGAGAAGGAGCTGGAGCTGGAAATGGAGTGCGTTAGGCAAGTTTCGGGCAGGCCGGAGGGAAATGTCCAAAGTGTGCAAATACTAAAAAATAATGTCAACGTTGCAGCCCAGCGACAGCAGCAGCAGCAGTGCAACAACAACATTAGCAACAGCAGCAGCGGCAGCAGCAGCAACAGCAGTAGCAACAATATGCTCGTTAAACCAAAGTTAAAGTTGAGTAAGAAAAGTTGGCAGATTACAGGCCGAGATCAAGACGAATTGCACAGCGATGAAGTTGCAAACATAAATAATGGCCAACAGCGTCTGCGAGTGGAGCGGCAGGTGTTGCAGCCAGGCAAAGGCCAACAACAATATTAAAATTATCATTGCACGACTGGGAAATCATGCAGCAGCAACAGCAGCAGCAGCAGCAGCAGAAACGCGGCAAAACTTTGCAACAAATTGTCAACCGTCAAAAAAAAAAAATAGACCACGGAGTCTGCGGTCAACGAAAAGCGCTTGTGGCAGAGTGTTGCAGCCACTGAAATTACTTCGGCTGTTGCTGCTGCTGGTATTGCCACAGACAACAGCAACAATAATGCGGCAATCTTATCAGCAGTCAACCAAATAGAGGAGAGCAGCGCACAGCGAGCAAAGTTCTTTAGCGGGTCATCAATAAAATGTCAGCTGCACTTTTGTGGCACTTTCGGCATGTCCAGTTGGGGCCACAACAGACGCAGGCTTCTCTCCGACTGAGTGGGACACACACACACACACACACACACAAATTTTGAGGCTGAGGCTGACAACTATGCTATATTCGTGTGGCAAGTGGCGGGGGCACAGCAAATGGAGGCGCAACACTTTCAGACCATCATCGAGTCGGAATGCAGTCAAGTCAAGTGGCTTGGCACCGCTCAGCCACAAACACGCAGCTGACAGGAGACCAGCGCCACCGGCGAATGTCTCACATTGTCCAACACGGCGAGGAACTGCTGCACCGCCTTTGAAATTATTATGTATTAAGAGAAAATAGCATTCCAACTGATATTAGTAGATAAATAGGCAACAACAAATACTGTACTGATTTTTAGCTAATAAATAGAGTGGAATAAAACCGTATGCAATATACAAATGAGAATCACTTTCGCCTTCGACTTTTAAATATATTCCAGTTGTTAATTGCTAACTTTTCTTTTATGCAGTTTTCCACGCTCAAATATAAGTTGTAGATAAGCTCTTATTTCTCATGTAGATAAAAAAAATGTGTACTGATTTTTAGCTGATAAATAGAGTGAAATAAAATCAAATTTATATGTAAACCAATAAGAATTAGTCGAGTTTTAAATATATTCCAGTGGCTATTTGCATAATTTTCTTTTATTAAGCTTTGCACACTCAAATAGAAGCATGCACGGAAGTGCTTTTATTTCTCATATATATATAGATAGGCTACAAATGTGTCCTGATTTTTAGCTGATAGATAAAGTGGAACAAGCCGAATGCATATTCACAAAATTATTTAGTCCAGTCGAGCTCGACTACGAAAATCTCTAAAATCAACTGTTAAATATATTTGCATATTTTTTTTTTTTTGCCAAATTTTCTGTCCGAGATTTGCACATGGAAGTGCTCTAATAAAATAAGGCAGCTCACATATATTTATTCGCAAGCTCGAACCGAGCAATACGATTAATATGAAAAATCGTTTAAACTTGCTTAAATTTATAGTTGATCAACAATATGTCAACGGGTTGTATATTTCATTTAAATGTCTATCGATATACGCGAAACGGTTGAAACTATCGATAAAAATTAAATTAAACTGATCTTAAATGTGAAACTTTTATTCCATGTTATACATATTATATATGTATGTGTATACCATTATACCCCTTTATGCATTTCAAATGGGATTAGGGTGTAAACATTCAGATATGCAGATATCAAATCCAAAGTGCATGGTGTCAATTAAAAATAATTTGCATAACTTATGTGTTTAATTTGATTTTGCTGCAAATATAAATTCAAACTCACCACTCTATCTCTCTCTCCAACACACTCTCTTCCTCTCTCTCTCACTGTAAAGTGTTTGCTTTGTAAATTGTATTTGCATTTTTTTTTGCGGCGCGTAGCATAAAATTTATTTCAAATATGGCAGAGGCAATTTAAAATCTGTTAAGTCAGCCGAATTTTTAATTATTAAACGCATTTAGAAATATGCTTGCCTGGCATGCCAGGTAACCACCCCTCCCCTGCCCCACACTCTTCAATTCTTTTTTTTTGTTTTCCATGCATCTCTCTATTTGCATAAGCCAACATCAACAGCAACTACGACAAAAGCACAAAAAGCTTTCCGTTGCCGGCTGATAATTGACATGCACGCAAATTAATGTTTTTTTTGGCATTGCGCATTTACATATATACACATATACACACACACACATATATTTATATATATTTACATACATACATGTACATGGGTAAACATGTGCCTACTGCTACTGCAATATTTAACAAAACGAGCAGTTGTCAGCGATGAGTGTTTGTATCTTGTCTATATATGTGTGTGTGTATCGAGTTGTCAAGTGATGTTTACACAGTGTTTAAATTATGGCGAACAATTCGTGAGTACAAATTAAAAATACGTACAGAATAACAAAATGTGACCTATCAAACTGAAAATATATACGCTGATCTACTAAATATTTAAATGTACCTAGACGTTTAAATACATATGTATGTATATTGTCAGCCTTCCGCAATCTTTATTAGCTGTAGAACTATAGGGTTGCCCCTCTCTGCGTCAATCGCTTATGCTCTCTATTTGACTTACCCTCTAAATTTTGTTGTTGAGGAGAGCATAAGCATTGCTATCAAGCAGACAAGTGGTCTATCCATGTACGCTTGAGAAAATTTGCGCTGCTCTCATTTTTAAATGTACACGGTATGCTTTTAGCCGCCTATTCGCCAATTGGGATTCTTGTTGTGCTCTTTGACTTCTCTATTCGTAAGTAGTTTGTTTATGTGTGTTTGGCAATTAGTTGTCGATGAACGTTGACGGCAAAAGCGGCGACTCTTCCGCGTTCTTTGTGTCTACACGTTTTGGTACATGTGTACCTATGTACATACGTATCTATATTGTTTGTAAATATGTACATTTTGTGCTTGCAATATTTGTTTGAATTCGGCTGGCAATTAATTTGTTTAACAAGATTAGAGCGAAGAGTGTATTATTATTAAGCTATAATAGACTTTGAAGCCGGCATTTTCAGTGGCAATTGCATTCATTAACGGTACTCCGTTTGCGTCGTCAAGTTCGTTTATTGTCTACGCTTCTGTTTCGTTACGTTCGCCCATCGATCAGTTTGTTTATTGCGTCACATTCGTCCAGCTGACGCTTTTAGATAAGTGCATGCACACAAGTGCATATACATACATACATATGTGTTTGCATGTGTTTGCTTGTCGTTTGTTGTTGCTTTTCTAGCTAATTATGAACAGCGAAAGTGGTGAGTTCATTTATTTATATTATCAGTTGTCAGTCAATGATTAACCAATTTGAATCCAATCTTATTTTAATTAATTTATATATAAAAACATATATATATATATATATTTATTTATTAACATACTACTCAAATTTAGAGGTCAACGATATTGTGGCGGCCATCGATGGGCCGACTTTGAACGCCTATCGCCAAAAAGCTCCCGATGAACTTTACAATGCGAGGGAAGCGAAGAAAGCTGAATCGAATGGAACGCATACCGAATTGTTGCGTCGCCTCAGTGTGACTGTCACTAAGAGCATTCTCAGCGACTTGGAGCCGGAGACGCAACATTTGCTGAGCGATGCAGCCCCGCTGTGGATTAAGAATGAAGCCAATAAGCGTCCGCTGCCACCTCTTCGATCCCCGAATGCCAAGGGTAAATTACATAGCTCAGTTAATGATAATGCGAATGTGAATGGTGAGTTTATTTCTATGGTGACTCAACAAAAAAACATCTGCGTACATACATATATGTGTATGTGTGTATGTATGTGATTGTATGTGTATGCAAACAGAGAAAACAGGATGTGCTAAATTTTAGTACAACTGGTTTCGAATTTGAAAATAATAGAATGTTGTTCTAAATACTTCGATTTTTAGCACCTAAAATTTGTATTGAAGTTGAATGAGGTTTCTGAAAAGTAGAAATCTGTACCGATTAGGAATCAGGATTATTTGAAAGCCGAAAAACAAAAATATCTTGTTATTTAAAATACATAGTTCTTGAATGTATTTTATTAAGTAATCCGAAACGTTATAAATACATAAATATTTTAATCAAAGTTGAATGAGGATTTTTTAGAGTAGAAATCTGCTTCAAGTGATCAAGGTCTTCTTACAGAAGCATAATTGTAAATAACAATAATTCTTATATTTATACGTATATATACATCGTACTTGAATATATTGTACTCAGTCTTCAAAATCGTTTTAAATACTTAAAAATTCACATTTTAATTTAGAGTAGAGTAGAGTAACAATCGGTCCCGATTAAAAAAGCTAACTACTTAAGGGGATAACCAAAAAATCGCTCTCAAATTCAATTTCTTATTTTAAGAAGTGGATAGTTGTACCTACTCTGGTGCATAATAATACAAATAATTCTTGAGCTATAACTGATCATTGTAAAGTGTGTGATAAACAGAAAACAAATAATAACAAAACAATTTTAAATAGTAAACGGATATATATAAAATTGTACAGTTGCCCTTAACTTATGCTAAGACAGTTTCACATACACAAATATTTACAATTTAGAAAAGTTTCTTCAGATTTGGATTTTCTACTTTATTTTTTACTTGAGTTGTATTTGAATAAAATTAGTAATGTTTTTTTTCGGAGAGCATCGATTAAAAATATGTGAAAATCAGAGTAAATCTGAGCAAATAGTTTCAGTTTCAACTGAATCGCTGCACGAGCAGGAAACAGAGACTGTGTGCATATAAATATTTTTTGGCGAATGCAACGCTTGGCAACGTTAGCGAAAGCCAAATTATTTTTGCCCGGAAATGACTTTCCTGCTCAAGCACACATACACACACACACACACACAGATACAGACACACTTGCGCACACACACTTGCACATACAGATGCAAATATGAGAGCGAGCTGCTTACAAAACAAGACATCGGCGCCAGAATGCCAAATGGCGAATTGCAACTGGCAAAAAGCAACACACATTTCCCGTTCGATGTCAGAGCTTACGTCCTTTTTGGCCATCCTTGTTGGCTTCTCCACACCCAAAACATCAACACACACACACACACACACACCGAGAGGCAAACGCGTGTTTATTGAAAGTTTTCGCCTCTCACTCAGCATTTGGTGCAGCAAATTGAGTCTGATCCTTGACTCTTGTGTGCCGTCGTTCAGATCCGTTTTTTTTTTTTGCTGCATCTCAAAATTTCCATGCACAGCAACTCAGGGCGTAAAGTGTTTTTCCGCAACGCACTCTTCTTTCTAATTTTTTTTTTTTGACTCTTGTGTGAAATATTTTAAATGCTTGGCAGACGCGTCTTGCCCATAAAATGGAAATAACATATTTTATATATATATACCAGTTAACTTGATTGTTACACGTGGTATCTGCTAGTTGCGCACTTTTGTGAACAGAGCTTTTATGATTCTCATTTGACTTTTTGCTAAGGTTATTTTTGCTGTTACAGCCGCGCATATTTCCAGCGAAAGAACGATGTGAGGCATTTGTTGTTTTAAGCAAAACCAACTATTATTATTATTATTATTGTTACATTGCTTTCGCATCTCATTTTTTGATGCCCTTTCAGAAGCTAACATAATTTACTAACATGACTTGCAACGCATTAAGTTCAATATATTATTGATCATATTTAATTTTTAATAATCATTGGAAAAATTAGTTCTGTTATTAGTGTATTTATTTATTTATTTTTGTTGATTTTTAAAGTGAATAATTTATAATGTTTTAAGTGAGTAGCTGCAGTCTGTAGTGTGTAAGGATATACACTGCGTTGCTTAACTCAGTTAGCTGTTTTTTTTTCTTATTTTTGGGCATTTGTTTATTTTTTTTTTTGCTTTTTGGCTTGCACATTTTCATGTGCTTCA